CCACAGCTCTTACAGACCACCTGCCCCAGAATAACCACTTGGATCAAACAGCCCAACAGCACTGGAGGCAGCAGCCCTGCCGAGGGTGAGGAGGAAGGAGGCTCTGCTATAAACACCAGCTTTGGGTGCCACCTCTCGTCTCTGCAGGCGGGAGAGGCAGCAGCATGGGACATGGCCCCTTTAGAATGTCCTCCCTTTTTCTCTGTTCCCTGGCATGATAGTTCAGGCCTCCAATTGCTCTGGAGTACAAGCCACCTGGCCCCATGAGGAAGTTAACAGTTCTGCAGAGATTGCCAAGGCCCTGAGAAGATAGGGAGGGGCCACTCCTGGAAAGAGCATAAGTACAAGTCCCTCCTGGGTTTCCAGCCCCATCTCTCCCCTAGTACCTCACTTCTTCTTCCTAGAGACAACTTTCCTAGCTAAGAGGGGCTTTTCTAGAATATATGCTCAGGGCCAGAAGGCCTCTCCTTGCTCTAACGAGCAACCCCATCCATGTATGCATTGCCCCACCTACCCCCCTTTCACCCTCAACCCTTCTTTCCACCAACACACAGCGAATGTAACCCAGTGTACTGGAATGTGGGTCCCTGAGGCACAGGGACCAGACCACCCCGGCCTATGACCCAAAGGGTGTGGGCTCACAACAGAGTTGATTCAGAAGAGACCATACATCTCTGAGTCTGTGGCTAGCAGAAAAGGCACAGACAGGGACTCAGTGAAAGCCACCCAGTGGAGGTGGGCACTACAAGGAGCCACAAGAGGCCAGCATGTCTGGGTGGGTGTGTGCTGGAATGACAGAGAGGCCACAAGGCCCCTGAGCAGCAAGGCCAGGAAGGGTTGTTCAAGGAGTGGACAGAGAAGCCAGGAATGTACATCGGTACAGGATAGGGAGGAGGGGAGGGATGAGGTCCACTGGGCTTTGCTTTTGAAGGCAGAGATAAGCTGACTTTCATGGGTAAGATGTGATGTGGAAGCCAGAGAGGAGCCATCAACGAATCCCAGGTGAAGAAAATGACAGAAGGGCAGCCTCACATCAAGCCTGGGGGGCTCAGCACCTCCAGGTTCCCCCAGTCTCTCCCAAAACTAGTCAACTGCAGAGTCCCAACAAGAGACAGAGTCCCAACAGGGAGAGACATGAAAACCAGCCACCACCATCTTAGGGAAGACCTGGGACCTTTTGGTTCTAGGCAGATGATGGAACCGTGAGTCAATCACACAGTGACATACTCAAATAGCTCTGGACAGCTGGGGCCAAGTCACCCCTGCTTGCGGTCTCATCAGGAGACTGCTCCCTCGGCCTGTCAGGGACGGATGAATCTGACAGAATAATAGAAGCTTTGGTGTGGTACAGCTCAGGTAGCAAGAAGCTGCGTTCCAGGTGAGCCACAAAAAGGAGTCACAGTGCCACAGAGTGCTCCGTGTCAGAGGGTGTGAGAAAGGAGATGAAAGAACACAAACATCACACCAACATGGACAGATGTCACACAAGGCCACTCTGTGGCCCTCACCTCTGTTAGACCACCATAACCTCTAAGAGCACACTTCGGAACAAGGGAAGGCTTCCTGGAAACCAACGGTAGGGTTAAAAGCCCAGTGAGTGTGTGCATGTGTGTGTGAGACCCTTTGTAGGCTGAAGGACAAAATGGCCTGAGTTACAGTCTGGCACTCTGGCCAACCTCCAAGACTGATTTTGAAATTATGGGACCAACACATTAGAATTAATTAGGTCACATTAACTGTCATACTGTTCAAGGCAAAAATCACTAGAGAAGTGTGTGTGTGTGTGTGTGTGTGTGTGCATGTGTGCAAGGCATCTTAGAGTACTGTGTGCATCCACAGATTAAAATCTAAATATCTTCTCCAAAATGTTTGGAATGGACACCGAGATTAATATGGTTGTCACTATTATCTCCTCTTAAACAAAGCATTAGGGGTGACTAGAAAACTGACTCAGTAGTTAAGAGCCAATTTTCTGCTCTTCCAGAAGACCCAGGTTCAATCCCCAGCAGCCACACGGCAGCTCACAACCATCTACAACTCCATTTCCAGGAGATCAGATGCCCTCTTCTGGCCTCCACAGTTATCAGCCAAGCATGTGGTGTGTGTGTATATATAAATGCATAAATATGTGTGTGTGTTTATAAATCCATGCAGGCAAAACATTCATACAAGATAAAAAAACAATTAGTTGCCGGGCGGTGGTGGCGCACGCCTTTAATCCCAGCACTCGGGAGGCAGAGCCAGGCGGATCTCTGTGAGTTCGAGGCCAGCCTGGTCTCCAAAGCGAGTTCCAGGAAAGGCGCAAAGCTACACAGAGAAACCCTGTCTCAAAAAAAAAAAAAAAAAAAAAAAAAAAAAAATTAGCACATATTTTAGACGGAGTAAAACATGGTAGGGTTTTCACTTGGAGGAAATGTAGAAAAATACAAATATAGGTGTCCACGGCCATGTTTGGAACAGCGGAATGCCCTTACTCGTGTGTATGCATGTGTGTATATGCATGTGTGTGCATGCCTGGCTAGTCCCTGCATGTCTGGAGAGGCGTGGGCCCATTTGGGAGGACACACAAGGGATGGTCTTGGCCTTTTCTGGTGTCGGGGTAACTGTCACTTGCTTTTGTTTTACATAGGGAGTGTAGAAGCTTCTTCCATGCTAATAGACGGAGTAGAAGCGGGATGTTCATGCACACGCAGCTGCTGGCATGGGCACCGGCACCCCAACCCGTTAGGCCCACCAATATTAGCACCCTGGAACAAGGAGCTAGCTCACCCATGGTAACAACTGATCGGTGCTAGGGGACAAAGCTCTAGTCCCTGCCTGTCAGGAGCGCCCCCCCCCCCCTTGGAAAGCCACCTGTGGCTGAGTTCCATGAAGGAACGGCTCGTTCCTCCATGGCCATCGTCACCTGCATACATAAGGTGGCCTTACCCGGCACCTCTATGAACCTCCACCTTGGAGTAGAAATCAAAACCCAGGCAGCAGTATTGCTGTGCTGCTGCCAGGAGAAAGGCTGGTCAGCCGTGGTCTTCCCCAGTCCTCCCGGGCTCTATAGCCCCTTCCCCACCTCTTCCCCAGTCCTGTGCTTGTTCAGTCTGCTCTCTGCTCCACTCCCTCCCCCAGACACCCCTAGGCCTGTCCCCCTCCCCCAGGCAAGTGGCCATGCTGCAGCCCTCACTGCCTGCCTGCCTTCTCCCTCACCCTGGCAGTGGGTCTGATTCTCAGGGGCGGACTTGCCACCCCTGGCTACGCCACCTTGCTCTAGTCCCGCCCCTTTACCCCCATCAGTCCCTGTGACTTCCACTGTGGCCTCAGCACAAGCCTAGCACGTGGCAGACAGGCAACTAAGGTGCTACAAGAGCACCCTGGCCCCCGTAGGGAGTTGGGGTCCATGGAAGGAACCTGGACAGCAGGGAATGGCTCTTCCTTGGGACCGGGAGATGCCTACAGCTGGGCAAGTCAGGGCCAGCATGAGCCAGGAGCAGCCAGTGTCCTGCTGCCAGCTCTCTAGCAGAGTTCTGACCCTTGACCTGCCTGTCTACTAGCCCTTCTCCTTTCCTGAAGTGCTGAGCACAGTACAGCACAGGCCTTATGAGAGACCAACAAGGTAGGCGTAACCAGCTGAGACTTGACCCAGGACACAGACTTGAACACACACCATAGGTCACTTTATTGCCAGGTCAGGACTAGACTGCTGTGACATGCAGCTTGTGACATGCAGTTGCAGTAGCACAGACATTTCTTGCACGAGGCCAGCAGAGGGCACAACCCTAGGCCCCTGCCCAGGCTCACGGGGATTCTACGTCCCTCCAGCACTCCTCTTCCAAACGCGGCACTGGATGGATAAGAGGAGGCAGAGAGAGGAGTGTGGCAGTCCAACTGTTGGGCCTGAGCAAGAGACTCAAGGGGTAGATGAGCTTGACTGCCCCAGGAGGCCAGGCCCAGGAGCTGTGACCGCTAAGCCTTGCTACCTAGACCACAAGGTCTCTCTTCCTGGGCCTCCCCCGCTCTACAGGGGGTGAGGAGATCCCCCAGCTCGCTCAGCTACGGCCTGCAATCAACAATCAACGTCTCTGTCCTTTGCCCAGTGCTGCCTGCAGCAAAAGGAAGTGTCGGCTACAGCCACCCTTCAAAGACCACTCCCTCAAGATCTGCAAGGCAAAGGCTATTACCAGATTCTGGGTAAACCCCACTGAGGGAACCTGTTACCAGAAGTCCTGGTTTTACAGAGGAGTAGCCCAACCACTTGGCAGGTACCAAGGCCAGGACAGTGGATAATGCCCCTAAAATACCAGCGCCGCAATACACTTTAGGAGAGCCAGGGAGAAGAAGGATGGAGGGGATAGGCATAGAGTCTGGGGAGGAGCAGGGAGGTCATTTATGAAAGCAGACACCTGTTGAGACCCACATGTCTAGAAGTTCTAAGGGGACTGCTAGGTGACACTCCAGAAGCAGCCCCTATGTTAAGTTCCATCTTGTCCTACATGTGACTAGCAGATGCCCCAGTGACAGCAACCCCCCCCCCCCACCCCTGTACCCATGTCTCAGCTCTGCAAGGAAGTTACATGCCTCCTTTCCAGGAAGTGGCCATGTGTGGTGATGTCACCACAGATGAAGACCCAGGATGGCTCCCTCCTCTATCCTTCCCATTCTACCCCCTCAAGACACACACACATACACACACACCACACACACACACACACACCACCACTACCACACACACACCACACACACCACCCCATACATACACCCACCCACACCACACACACATACACACACACACACACACACACACACACACACACACACACACACACACCACACAAATACACAACGACCCATTCAGTCCTGGCTGTAAATTCTGGGAAAGCATCCTGAAACTGAAGAGCTTTCAAAGGTGATGGTGATTCTCTCCCCCACCCACTCCCCAGGCCTGCATCTTTGTCCTGGGAATTGGTAGTAGGCCCCCTCGCCAGCCCCTCCTAACATGGCATCCAACCTACTCATGATCATGATGTCATTGCAGTCCTTTTTATGGAAGTCAGTCCAGGCCTTGGTCTTGCAGTACTTGCTGCAGGTCAGGATCCCATAGCAGCGGGGACAGGGTGTGAGGCGGACCCCAATGGAGCGACCACACTGGTAGCAAAACTTGTAAAAGGCAAGGCTGTAACGGAATCCCAAGGTCAGGTCTGTGCCCACACCTGAGCTCCTAAGACAGTCTTGGTTGCACATCCCACCAGACAGAGCATCCACCACTGATGTCCTCACCCAAAATGGTCTCCACATGGCTATTCTGAGCAGTTAATACACACTGCCTTTGGGCCCACCACAGGCTCCGTAAAGGCTGCTCGAGCAAATGCTATGCATCCAACATGGCGACCAGGGGCGCTTACAAGCTCGAGGAAATCGGTTGTGAGTACCACTGCTGCGATGAGTCAGCTACCTGAAGGGAGACCTCAGAGCTTGTGTTTGGGATGGAACTCAGCACCAGCTTCCTCCATTTCCAGAGGAGACACTCCCCATCACCCTCTCAAGCCCTGCCCTGTCCCTCGGTATTAACGGTGCTGATGTTCCCACGAATATGCATGGGTCCTTCCCAGAGCGTACACAGGTGACTACAGAGCCGCCTCTGCCACAGAAACACCCTGCAAGAGGATGGCAGGGACTTCCTGGAAAAACAGTGGTTGAGCTGGGCTATGTTCTGCCATGGGAGGTGGCCACCCTCCTGAGGATGTGGAGCTCAAGTGTGCCCCACCCAGATAACTCAGCTCGCTGAGTCCTGAGACCCCATCGGTGAGCCTTGTTCTGGCTGGAGCCTGCGTCTGGGTGCTAGGCTGCCTGGCCAAGGCTCTGCTACTCGGGACGGAGAAGGTGGCCCTGCAGGGGCAGTAGGGCCAGAGCCCACAGCACTCACGGCTGCTTTTCTGCGGCTGAGCTCTTCGGCAGGCTGGAGGTCCTCTTCTTCAGCCTGTGGCTGGGGGACAGCTCTACTGCAAAGAGATCTGAGTGAGCACCTGGTGGTCGGGAGAGGCTGCAGCTTGGGAGGAGCCCTCACATGTGGCTATCACCCGCACCTGCATAGAGCTTACCCACCTGCAGCCCCTGCCTAGATCTGACCTTCACCATCCACTTCTGCTCAGGATTTGCCTTGCTACACCACTGAAGGCTACCAGGCAGCCTCTCCCAGCTCGCAGACTCTCTGAAGGAGTCGCCCGGGTGACCTCCCATTTGTCTCTGAAGCCCCGATTACTTTTCCTTGCTCTTTTTCAGAGGCCAGTTGTCACTTGCTCAGAAACCTAAATTTGTGAAGTCAACAGCGGTGGTTAATCTTGTCAGCTTTGGTGATTTAAAAATCACCTAGGAGACAGACCTCCGAGTATGTCAGTGAGGGCGTTTCCAGACAGGTTTAACCGACATGGCTCGACCAACCCCAAATGTAGGTGGCATCATCCTGTGTGACAGGGGTCCAGACTAAATAAAAAGGAAAACACGAGCTGAGCGCCAGCATTCATCTCTCTCTGCTGCTTGACTGAGCCTCAAAGGTGACCAGTTGCTTCAGGCTTCCATCAGCACAATTTCCCTCTTGAACTCTGAACCAAAATAAATGCTTTCTCCTTTAGGTGGCACGTGTTGCGTGTTTTGTCGTCGTAACAAGAAAAGTAACTAACCCAGAAAACTGGTGCCAAGGGGTGAGGCTGTCGCTGTGATGAATCTGGTCATGTGGAGGAACTGGTGTGTGGGAGGAAAATGTGGAAGAGTTTGGAGCGGCAGGATAGACAAGTCCTAAACTGCTGCAGACAGAGCTCAGCAGGGCATTCTGGTGGGAGTTTGGAAAACCAGAATGCCCAAAGAAAGAGACATGGACTGTGGCAACTCAGCTCAGGAAGAAGATCAGGACTCTCTTGAGACTTGGACTTGAGTCCATTCAGGTTACATTCTGGCAAAGAATCCAGCTTCATTCTTCCTGTGTCTTCAGAATGTCAGGGAGGCTCAATTCCTAACATAGACATTTCTTTGGCAGAAGACAGCATGGCACTTGGGCTGTGGCGTGGTCCCTGTTCGCTGTTCTTATTCAGATCAACAGGGGGAGAGAGCAGAAAGTTTAGTGGGGAAAGCGGAGCTGGCATGAGAGAGATGGTGTGTGCTGCAGCTGGGGCTAGCCAAAGCTTTCAGAGTCTGTATAATTCTCGAAAATCCCCAGATGTTTAGATGTGGGGCTGTAGGCTTAGTGTTTGTCTTGTTGAGATTTGGTCTTCTTTACTCCGACCTCCTCTTGCTGTCTGCCTTCGTTGCAATAAGACAACATGACCAAGACAACCCAAAGAAGAGTTTATTTGGGGCTCACAGTTGCAGAGGGTTAGATTCGTGGCCATCATGGCAGAGAGCATGGCATCAGGCAGGCAGGCATGGCTGCTGGAGCAGTAGTTGAGAGCTTACATCTTGGTCCACAAGCCTGAGACAGCTAACTGGGAATGGCATGGACTTTTGAAAACCTCAAAGCCTGCCCCAGCGCCATACCTTCTCCAACAAGGCCACACCCCCTAGTCCTTCCCAAGTGGTTCAACCATCTGAGGGCCAAGCATTCAAACACATGAACCTATGGGAGCCACTGCCATACAAACCTCCACACTATCTTTGGTCCTCCCTTTTAGAATGGGGATGTTCACCCCATGCACTATGAGAATGAGTCTCTAGGGACAGCAAGAACGGACTTCAATCTCTGGAACCCATATGGTAAAAGGAGAGGACTGATTCTTGATTCTTACAAGCTGCCTTGACTTCCACATGTGTGCCACATTCACTCCCTAACACACACACACACACACACACACAACCTAAATATAATAAAAAATGAATAAAACTAAAATAAAGAGCCATGTGTCTAGAGGTCAAGTTGACAATGGGTAGACTCATGATTCTTAGTCTTGACAAGCAAGCAGCAGAATTTAGAATCACCAATGAGACAGACAGGGAAGACCCACCCTTGATGTGGGCGGAACCATCCCCTGGGCTGTGGTCAATGAATGAACGAATAACCAATGAATAGAGAGGAGAAAACAAGGGGAGCACCAACCTTAACCTCTCTCCACTTCCTGACTGCAGATGCCATGGGACCAGCCGCTTCGCAGGACTCCTGCCACCACGCCTTGCCATCACGATGGATTATATTCCCCTTTTAAACTGTGAATCAGATTAAATCTCTTCCTCACTTAAGTTGCTTTCATCAGGATTTTTGGTCACAGTGAAAAAGTAACCGACGTATCTGCTCTCCCCTGCTCCTAGCACTGTGCTGCTCCGTGGAAGGTGCAGCCTTCGGATTCCATGGTCACCACGGGGCGATGGTGGCTTGAGCAGGGCTCTTTCCTGACCACACCTGGCTGTTTAACTCTTTGGATCGCTGGTTGGCTGCCCCTGGTTTCCAACAGTGCTCCCTCCTGGCAGAACTGACTCAAAGGACCGGCAGTCAAGTCAGGGCTGTGGCAGGGACAGCCCCAGCTCAGTGTTGGCTGTTTGCTCTTTCAGCCACTTCTCCCATGCTCACTCACTAGCAGCTGGCCACAGGTGTCTGTCTTGTCCCTCCAGCAGGGCTGTCGCTCTGTTCACAATAGCCCTCAAAACCTCCAGGAGCTCGGAGGACACCATCAGGCCAGTCTCAGTTACAATGAAGTTACATCCTTGAGAGAGATTTCGGGCTCTCTGTTAAACGGCTTTTCCTCCAAGTAATTCTGAGCTAAGGTCCTGGAGCTGGTGGAGACGATGGCACACATCTCTCTAGTGACAGCCTCACATTAGGAACTGAGTACCCAGTGCCGAGTAAGGAGGTCTTCCCAGCTTGCCTCTCCTGGCATGGAATCCAGCCCTACCAAGTGGACGAGGTGGTCAGAGTCCCAGGATGCCCATCAACACTGAAATTGAGGTTGTACCTCTCTGTGCCCCACAAGGGAGGCTAGGTGCAACAGTAGAGTCTATCTTCAGCCACATGGAAAGTGCACTCCATCTAGAGCCCAGTCTTTGAAGCAGGCAACTAAAGACAGCAAGAAGACTGCTGGCATCTGTGATTTCTGCAAGGAAAGGCCTCCTACTGGGGATTTCTAGAAGGAAAGGCCTCCTATTGGGGCTTTCTTGGCTATGCCAACTTGGAGTGAACTTCCTGCTTCCCTGAGTTGGCAACATGAAGAGGAAAAGCAGGCCCCAGTTTAACATTCAATACTATGGTCTGTTTGCATGGAACTTACTGGATTTTGTTGACTAAGCATTCCCTTACACCTTATATAATCAATCTCTGAGCCACTTGCAGAAACCTTAAATAGTCGGGTGTTGCATTTTCGAGGTGTGTGTGTGTGTGTGTGTGTGTGTGTGTGTGTGTGTGTGTGTGTGTGTGCTGGGTCTGCAGACGATGCCACGCGACCATGGCAAAGGTGGACACTAGATCTGTTATTTTATGCGAGCTACATCAATCAGTAAGAGGAGGAGGAGGAACTGCCCTTGTTTAGCAGCTGCCTTCCTTCTTTCAGAACTCCTCACACTCTTCATTAAGCAGGTCTGCTAACAACTTTTGGCTTCTGTTATCTGGGAATGTTTTTGTTTCTTTTTTTAAAGATAGTTTTGCTAGCTATAAAAAAAATCATCTTAGGAGTAATTTCTGTGGCTCAGTGGTTAAGAGCACTAGCTGCCCTTCAGAGAGCCTGATTCAGTTGCCAGCACCCACATGGCAGTTCCAGGTCCAAGGGAGCCATCACCTTCTTCCGGCCTCTCTGGGCCCCAGGCACACAGGTGATGCACATATATATGTGCAGACAAAACAATCATACACATAAAAAAAATTAATGACAGTTTTGAAACAGAGGAGTAACGTCTGGTGAGAAGCCAACGGTTGGTACTCCCTTGTAAGTACTAAGCCATCTTTTTCTTGGTGCTCTGATTTTCTCCTGGTCTTGGGGTTTCTAGCATTTCATTATAAAGTGTCTCTGGATTTCTTTGCACTTAGATTTCCTGGGATTGACCTTCTCGCATGCAGTGATCAGCACCTTCAGAGTCCCTGTGACCCTGCAAGTTCACACATCTTTGGCTGCTTCTTGCTCCTTTCTCTTCCTCTTCTGGAGTCCCATCACACACGTGCTGATGGGCTCATGGTGCCACCCATCTGCTGGGCTCCGTTCATTTACCTTGGTACTTTTCTTCTCTCTTCTTCAGACTGAACTCATCCATATATTGTCCTCTGGCTTGATGGTTTCATTTTCAGTTACAGCCAAGACCCTCTAAGTGAACGTTTAACTTGGGGGCTGGACTGATTGTGAACACCAGAATTCCCACCTGGTTCTCTTTGATAATTTCTACTCTTTACTGATATTCTCTACTAGGCAAGGTGTTGCCAGGGTCCCTTCCTCTACTTCTTTACCATGTGAATGTGTTAAATCTGACGTCTGGGCCCTCCCCAGGAGTGTGTGTGGTTCATCCCAACACATGGGTCAGACTCATTTCTTTGCATGAATGTCTTGTTGTGTTGGTCCTGGTGTTGTGTAGGTCCTAATCCCACACCCCAGCCCAGGCTTGCTGCTGCTGGTCACTGGTTTGGTGGCTATGTGGGTTGTGAGGTGTCCCCATCCCACAGCAGGAAGCTCCTGACACTGCTCCACATGGAGTGCAGCCTAGGGCATGACCACAGTCAACCTCTCTGTCTCTGTCCCGTGACTGCCTAGCTATCAGCTCCACCAGTGCTGGGCTGGTTGTTTCACTGGCTTCAGAGGTGTTCCTGGGACGTAAATTACCCCTCAGAGTGAGTCGATCACTCTGCAGCTATTTGAGGGGAAAGTCTCCAAGGCCAGTGCTGGAGGCTTGTTCACACTCTGGACTGCTCCTCTGCTCTAGTTCCTTCTAGTTCTTTCTAGTAGTAAGCATGCTGTAGTTCAGCCTGTGGTGCCGGTGGATCACCTCCCTCACAGGTGCCTCTCACCCCCAGGCCTGAACTGGTTCATGTGCTGTTGAAAATGAGTCTGTTTCTTTGTCAAAGCTCCCGTGCTTTACGGCATGGTGACAAGGGTCTGGAAGCAGAGTGTGGCATGGCAGACCTCTCCGTGGGTGAAAGCTCCACTTCAGGATCCACTCAGTGATGGAAAGGAGAGGTTCTGTGGTCAGATCTCCTCAGCCAGCTTCCCTCAGCCAGGCCCCCTGCCTATGAGCTGGTGTGAGAGATCAGAGGCCCAGTATTCTCAATGGTATCAGAGCAAAGGCAGAGACTGTGCCCCACGGTAGAGTATGCATATGAATAGAGGCATCGCCTCCGGTAACACTAGCCAGCACCCAGCCTCCACATTCTTCATCCCTTTCCAAATGGAACAGCAGTTTGAGTCAGGATAAGTTAGTACGCGTGGGCAGGACAAAGGGACAGAAATAGTGGGCTGTGTGTGTAGATGTGTATGTGTATGATAATTAGGTTCTGGGCATAAATGTGGAGTGCTAGTAGGTTTATGGGTGGGAATGTGAATAGTGCGTGGGGGACGCTGGTTGTGTGTATAAGAGAGGGTGGTAGTCCAGTGTGTAAGTTTGGGTGTGTACTTGGCTATGTGTAACTGTGGGCATGTAGCTGGGAACTATTTGTGGAGAATAGGGGTAGGTGAATATGGGTATGGGAGTTGGGAGGATAAGCATGTGTAGGGGGTTCAGGATATTGGGGTGTGAGTGTGCAGGTGGATAGACATGCATGTGTGCAGCAGATGTGGCTGTGGGGTAGGTGCAGGTTACTCTGCAGGGGAAAGTGCTGATTATATTTAATTGTGGCTGGATTGTGGCTATAAGGACGGTGTACAGGTTTGTATATATACAGGGATGGGTGTGGATAAGTGGATTCTACATGTTTTTGTGGCAGGTATTGGCGCATATGGATGTAGGTGTGTGGAGGAGGCAGTGGTTCATATGTGTGAGTTTCATGTGGGGAGATGGGTGTACACTGGGGACAATGTGAGTGAAGGCATCTGTGGGCATAAAGATATATGTGCACGGTGGGTAATTGGGGTGTTGGGGAAGAGTGGTGGACAGGTGGACATGTGTGAGAAAGTTGTAACAGCAAGGGTTACAGTTTGATGTGACTTTGAGAGTGAAACCATCAGGGACATTGTCGGGGTGGGGGGCGGGGGGGGATGGAAAGGATGTGGGTGAGCAGATACAGGTCTGGAGAATGAGGCTGTCGGGTCAGAACAGAGCTAGGGCACTCACCCTGATGAGCCTCACCTACCTCTCTTGCTCAGGTACAGGGCCTTTACGTCCAGCTGACTCTCTTTGCTAAGGACAGCACGCCGTAATTGCAAACCCATATATTCTAGCAGCCTTTTCCGGGCTAAGAACGTCTCCCGCTCCAAGGGCATCAGAGCATGAAAGGGACAGTGGGCGATCTTCCGGTCCTATGACAGAGCACAGGGTCACGACGAGTCCTTGGGGGCTGCCACTCAAGGGTCACGAAGGACTTCCGGCCACCCCCAGCCCAGACTGCAGAGTAACTGAGTGAGCAGGCCACCTCTCCATCCTTGGTGATGACTGTGAGGACACAGAGGACACTTGCTCAACACAGGAGGACACTTGCTCCCAAGTGCCCAAAGCACATGTTTGCCATCATGAGGTCTTCTGTCCTAGAAGACCAGCCTTGGCTGTGGACTCCTAGATTTACCCAAGAGAAGCCAAGTCTCAGCGGGATCTGGCTTAGAGAACAAAGCCACACCTGGTAGAATTTGAAGTAGCCATAGTCCACGGCCGTCCCCACTGCTGTCCTTTCACCTTGCGTAAGCACCACGGGTTTCAGGACATCAGCCCCGTAGCTAATGAGCCGGTCAATCTGCAGAACACAGAATCTGTTGAGCACACAGGGCCGCTGGAGAGGCAACACGAGCCGCCTGCAGCCCTGGACCGTGCAGGGCAGTTCCACACGTGACCACGTCAGGATGTGCGTGGCTTTCGGGTCCTGCAAACACACTTGCTGGACAGCTGAAAGGCAGCCGAAGGGCACCGCCCGGCAGGAGAGCGCAGCCGCCCAGAAGGGCTGTTGTCCCCTGCCTCTTATGTGGCGGCCCTCCCCCATGTGTGTGAGGAAGTCAGAGACCAATACAACAGACAGGACTGACCTTCTAGCCCCATCCTAAAATGCCACTCCCTGGATGGGAGCCCTCCCTGACTCCATTCATGGTCACAGTCACATCGTGAATGGACAAACAGAATGTGGCATGCGCATACAGTGGAGCATCAATCAGCCTTCAAAAGCTATATCCAGCTTACACAAGTCAGAGGCCCCGTCAGCACCAGGAAGTACAACGGCCTCTGCTTCAGTATAACCTCCTAGACCCGTTTCTGAGCCACTGCTTAGCCTGTACATATTATTATGTGAGGAGCAATGTGTGACCTGAGCGTCATCTAAGTTCACAATGAAAACTGGAATACAATTAAAGAAACCGCGACAGCTGCAGTTGACAAGTGAAATCAGGAGGGCATGCTGAGCAGCAGCTTGTGGACTAGATGTGGCCGTTACTCAATAAATTCCAGCTGGGAGGGAGGGGTGGGGGGGTGGACAGCTGTGATGCCAGCACTTAGGAGGCTGAGGCAAAAGATTACGAATTTGAAGCTGGTGACGTTACAGAACAAGACCCTCTCTCTCTCTCTCTCTCTCTCTCTCTCTCTCACACACACACACACACACACACACACACACACACATACACACACAGGAAGCCGACAATGTACAAGCACACCTTCAGATACTGTCAACAGATTAACACCATCTCATTTCCCAAGCACTGTGGGAGGTGGGTGCTGGGTGCTGGATGCTATGTCCTTTAGTCTATTTTAGTCAAGACATGATATTAGGAAGGCCCAGCCTGTCCCGCCCTGAACCCAGCCAGGACTCTCCATGCCCTTCCTCATCCCCAGCATCCTCCCATGTTTCCCCTCACCAGGGCAATCTTGTTCTCGATGCTCCTCTGTTGCTCATAGGCCAGGTCACACACAACACATAGGGCAGTGCCCAAGCCTTTGGTCAGAGGCAAGTTGGGGTCAGCTCCCTGAGACAGGAGTTCCTTCACAACCTGGACACACAGACAGACTCCTGAGCAACCATAACCCTGGGTACTATCCACAGGTTCCACCCACGGGGAAGATGCTGGCTGGGGAGGAGCATGGACAAGCCCCTGAGGGAGGAGTTGTAATTCTACCCAGGGCCTGGTTCTGACACTGTATTGGTGCATGTACCAATGCAGCTGCTCTGACGGGTCCTGCTCCTGTCTCACTTTCTAGCCCAGGAAAGAGCACGGCTCTTGGGCATGTACACAGCACTGGCCAGGAGCACTTCCTGTCCGGGCCCTTTGGCTGCTCCTCCTCTGCTCTCCTTTTTCGTTCACAACACTCTTCAGTATCTAAAACCGTGCTGGACGCTGACATAGGGCCCGATTCCCCCCAGCTATAACGTGCGTAGGGGGATCCCTAACGCAGACACCCTATTCAAAACCTGCTGCTCCTAGTGGTGCCTGCCTTCCCACAGAAGGTGCCCAGTTAGCAAAAGTTAAATGAAAAGGAAGGATAGGTGAGAGGCTGTGCAGGCCAGCGGGAGGGTGGATGGATGTCTGGGTGGGTGGGGGAAAGCAGGCTGAGTAGCTATATGGCTAGGTTGGCAGGTAGGTGGCTGGATGGGTTAGTAAATGGGAGATTGGGTAGATGAACCAACCAGTAGACAGAGAAGTGGGAAAACGACACAGCGAACCCCAGCAGCTGATTGGAGGAAGGAAGTCAATGGTGGCAGAAATAGCACAGTTGCCTGGTGCACATGTACACAGGAGCTGGGTGCATAAGGGCCAAATACACAAAGGCCAGGTGCCCAAGACAGGCACCGGGTGTACGGGCGCACAGGACTCAGGCTCACCAGGTCATTCCCACTGGCGATGGACAGGGAGAGCGGGGAGTGGCCGCTCCACAGCATGTTTGGATTCGCTCTGTGTGAGAGCAGGAGCCGGACTATGTCTCTGGCACACTGTGGGAAGAAAGGCAGAAGCACATGAAAGCAGAGGCACCATTCCCAAGGAGCCCCCCCACCAGCACAACACCAATAACCCAACTGCCACCTTTAAAATCAAGCCGATCACTCCACTGCCGGCTCCTTGCACCAGCACCGCCTGAGCAAAAACTCCCAACAGGGACATGGGACAGGGGAGACAGAGGATCCTCAGACAGACTCCAAACACTCATTTACAGGAAGAAAACAGGAAAGGCACTGGCAAATAAATTGGCTAGAAGTACGTTTTCAAGGACCAAAGACAATGAAGGTAATGTGAGCACACCGAAGGCCCTGACCTTCCACGGGGATAATGGAGGGGAGTGCCTTTACCTGGGCTCACTTGTGAACCTCTCCCCAGTACTGTCGGCTGTCAGAGGTGGTCAGCGGTGGTCAGGGGTGGTCAGCGGTGGTCAGGGGTGGTCGGGGTGGTCAGCGGTGGTCAGGGGTGGTCAGGGGTGGTCAGGGGTGGTCAGCGGTGGTCAGGGGTGGTCAGCAGTGGTCAGCAGTGGTCAGCAGTGGTCAGCGGTGGTCAGGGGTGGTCAGCAGTGGTCAGCAGTGGTCAGGGGTGGTCAGCGGTGGTCAGGGGTGGTCAGGGGTGGTCAGGGGTGGTCAGGGGTGGTCAGGGGTGGTCAGTGGTCCCTCTTTTTCCCCCACTGCAGGGGCTGCTCTCTAGCTGCCCTATACATTTTGCCGACACTATACCCTCAGGATGTAACAAACCCTAGGAGCTGGGGACCAATCTCCTTTGCCGGCCTGTTTCCCTGCAACCTCAGCAACTGGCCGATGAGATGCCAGTAATCTGTGGAAGCGCTCTTGGGAAAGCTTCTCCATCTTTAGTGGATACTAGAGGTGTGGTAGCTGGACTAACTGCGGCCTCTACGCCCTCACCCATGGCCTCTGACCTCCATGCCCTCACCACTGATGTCTCCATGACCTAACGATAGTGCCACATTGGTGCCTCTTATTTTTCCACAACTTCCAAATCTGAAATACACCGTGAGCGGAAAAGTGTTTGCTCAGGCCCATGCCTCACACTGGCAAGAACCCTGGTCAGCGTCAGCCTGCCTTCTTGAAACATCCCTGCCCCTGTTCCTAGAGCTCACAGCTGCCCTCTGGGGTTCTGGAGAGAATGGTGAGACCCTAAGCCCAGCTCCTTCTCTTCCCCTTAAGGAAGCTCTGATCTGATGGGCCAGTTGCTGCCTTTCACCTCTCCATCAACCCTCCATTCTCCCCAGCATTACCGGGGAGCCTGCACTCTAATGCCCGAGAACTCCCCTCCCCCCAGCCTCCCGATTCCCTGACCTGCCCCGGCCACTCAGTCTTTTCTGAGAAGCTCCCATACCAGCCTTGCCCAGATTGAGTGCCAAGGCAGATGGGAGCCAAGTGGCTACAAGGCTAGGAGACTCAGGCAGTGGGGGTAAGAGGATGACTGGGGGGTTGGTAGCCCCTGGATCCCAAGCATGTCTGACCCAAGTGCAAGAGTGACTTCACATGGCATCCAAGGCCAAGCAAGATGTGGGTCCATGCATGGCTGGGGAGTTCTTCAGGGCATGGGTACTCAGGGACCCTTTTTCGTATTTTCCATTCACTTTAACCTACACCGTTCAACTCCACTTGGAAAACGCTGGATTTTTGTGATAGTTTGGAAAACCCACCACAGCAGCTCCAGAAGCAGCCAGGACTCCCACACTGAGAAGCCAGCATGGCAAGGCTGTCCACTCACACCAGAGCTGCCCTCTCCTGCCTGGGCCTACCACAGAGACACACATGTGCCTGATGCAGCACACAAGCATGCACACACAAGTACTCACCTCTGTAGCCACACGGACACACACACCCCAACTTAGAGGCGAAAGCTTATAGACACACACACATCACATTTGAACACAGCTCTTGCCTGGCCTCACGTCCCTCACGCAGCAGCCCTGAGGACTCGGGGCTCAGCCCCTTCCTGTCCCACCTTCACACTCCTCACTTTGACAACACAGTCAAGCCCGGGTCAGAGCCCCAGGGCCATGCACCTTCTTGTTGTCCTCTCGCTCACAGGCGACATGCAGAGCCGTGCGTCCGCCCTCCTCTGGGATGAATGTGCTCTCCGTGTAGTAGCTGCTGGGTGGGCCTGGCTCATTGTTGAGCTTCAGACTTGAGGGCAGGAGGTCAATCTGTGGTAAACACAAGGCTTGAGACAGGTCCTACATGTCCCAGAGTGCCTGCTGACAGATTCTAGGTGTGCCGTCTCTTCCCACAGATCCCTCCACACACTGTTCTGAATCCTCCCAGAGCCACGGTGACTCCCACAGCACTCAACACCCTCTAGAGGGCTGGACTCATAGGCATGCACCACCAAGTCTGTTTTTGTTATGGTTGTGGAGTTTTTGTTATGTGGTACGGAAGAATGCTAGGAAACCACCCATCGAGCCCCAGCCCCAGTCCCTCCCCTTTTTTGAGACAGGGTCTCCCTGTGGAACTTACTATTTAGACTAGACTGTGCTAGAACTCAACAAAGATCTGCCCACCTCTGCCTCCTGGGAAATTAAAGGCGTGTGCCATCATGCCTGGCTACATCAATGCTTTTTACCTGGCGTCCCCCAAGTGTGTCAACCCTGCTTCCTCCCATGGCCACTGTTGGGTGCTGATCCATGTGGCCTGCCCACACTAGGAAGGGTCAGCAGCAGAATGATCAGAGCCTGCATGTGACTCTCTTTTTTGTCACCCTCTCCCCCCCCCCGCCCCGCCCCCTGGTCAGTAGGCACAGTTGCAGATCCAAACAGAACCACACCTTGCCGGTTTTGTAGACGTAGTCCTGGTCGGCTGCCTTGGCATCCACGTCAGTCACCGCGTGGAGCAGCAGCTCCGTGATCATGACGCCCTCCTCCCCGGGAAGTGAGGCTGCGATGTGGAGCGGAGTCAGAGACTTCAACTGCAGAGGAAGTATGGCAAGGGTGAAACCCAATCTGCAGCCAGGCAGGTGAGGCCCTGGTCAGGGTTATGTCAGGGTCCTTGCTGCCTGAGCAGATGGGAGGATGCATATCTTACTGCAACCATTTCAGGTCCCCACAACACCATTGCCTTCTCACCAGGCCAGTGGGTGCAGGACAAGGAGGCCCAGGAGGGCAGAGGCAGACAAATGCCCACAATCAAAGGATGGACTGGATGTTCTCAACATGCCATGTAACCCACGGGCATCCAGGGTCACAGCTGTGAATGCCTGAAAATCAACTGGCTTGATCCCAGCTGGTTTTAGGCTGTCTGTCTGACACTATCTTCTATGAGTACCACCTCAGGTCTCTGCCAGGCTCTGGTTCAGATACCACCATCTAACAGCCATATAGCTCCTAATTACCCTTCTGACTCTCCCTATGGTGTTCCTCTCTGTAGTGGATAGCTGTTCTATCACCTTGAAGCACCGCCCCTAGAGATGCAGCGGGTAAATGCTCCACCTGCCTATGGACCTTGAAGCACATGCCCCTGGGCGTGGCCTCTCTCAACCCTTGAAACCCTGAGATGCACTTAGGCCTCGCTCTCTCTCCACTCCCTCAGGGGACTTGGATTCAGAATTGATCCAGGCAGCTGGAACAGTGTTCCAGAACTTGTGTCAATTCTGTTTTGTACAGTGAATTTTTCCCCTTAATAAATCCTTTGCCCTTTAAAGAGATTCCGTGGATTTCTTGCTGTACCTCTCCCCATTGTCTGAAGTTGATCCCTGATGGACTGTCTCTGAGCTCCAGCAGCTCATGGTTGTGAGGGGCGGGGAGGACCCTGCTCTCAGAGTGAATACCAGCAATTGAGAGAGCCCAGCCAGCGCAGCCAGGCTATGGCCAGGAAGACATGCCCCACTTGTCCCCAGCCCAGTTCCCCTCAGTATGATCTCACTCAAATAGGAAGGTGTCCCTGAATAAAAGCACCTCGAGAACCCCCTGAAGGCGGGGTGTAATTAGCCTGGAAAGCAGAAAGAGCCCACAGTAAGTGGCTGTGATGAGGCAGGGGAATAGTCCAACAGTCGGAAGGTGGCAAGGTAGCATTAGCTCTCCATGGCACATGACCTGGGGCACACCCCTGCGGCTGCTGACTCAGGCATGGGGTCTCCACAGCCCAACAGCAGCCAGTTTCTCTGGAATGTTAGTTGAAGATGTGTTACATTTGTTTATACTGTGGAACATTTGTTTAATGATGCAAAGATGTGTTATTTTGCCTGTCTAAAACACCTGATTGGTCTAATAGAGGTGAACAGCCAATAGCTAGGCAGGAGAGAGAAGTAGGTGGGGCTGGCAGACAGAGAGAATAAATAAGAGGACAAATCTAGAGAAGAGGATAAGGAGCAAGAAAAGGAGAAGAAGAGGAGGATGCCAGGGGCCAGCCACCCAGCCACCCAGCCACCCAGCCACCCAGCCACCTAGCCAGCCATGAAGTAAGAAGGAAAGAAAGATATCTAGAATAAAGAAAGGTAAAAAGCCCAAAGGCAAAATGTAGTTAAAGAGAAATGAGATAATTTAAGTTAGAAAAACTGGCTAGAAACAAGCCAAGCTAAGGCCGGGCATTCAAAAGTAAGAATAAGTCTCCAAATATTTCTTTATTTGGCCGCTGGGTAGTGGGCCCCCAAAGAGTTAAAAAAAAAAAGGAAAAAAACTACAACCGGGCCTTACCCCTACAGCCAGTACCCACAACCGACAGCCAGCAGCCTCAGCACATCGTCAGTGACTGACACATAGGAGGGTAGGTGCCAAAACCAGCACACATGAATAAATACAGCAGAGAGCACAGTTTCCTGCTGATGTGGATCCCAGGAGATCGCATCAACAGCCAACTGAGGTTCTCCAACGTTTCAGACTTAGCCACTGAGGCAAGTGACAGAAGAGACACAGGTGGAGGGAAGATCAGGAGATGAGGAGGCTGTGTGGGCATCCCAAATAACAGGGGGGGTGAAGAAACCAGGCTGCTCCTCTCTCCCCAGTTAGCAAACACATGAAAGCCAGTGGTGAGCCCCAGAACAGCAGAGAGATGAGGGCGGAAAGACACGCTCACGAGATGAGCCAAGAAATATCCAGCACCCCAAACAAGAAGACCAGCTGCAGAAGGAGCCAGGGCCTCTCACAGCAATGCACAAGTGGGCCACCCTTCTCCTAGACGACAGAAGTTCTGTGCTGAGATATGCTGAGATGAGATGCCATGCATACAATGATAGAGACATGGCTCGTGCGACTCCTGCTAGCGGACTAAACTCCCACAGTGGTCTTGCTCACCCTCCGTCTGCAGCTAGGCCTCAGCAAACCCTAATAGGGGTTGCTTCCAAGTTCTTAGGAGCTGGTTGGAGATGTGGCTCAGTTGGTAGAATGTTAGTCTGGCATACTCAGAGCCCAGGGTTCCATCCTCAGCACCATATAAACTGGGCATGGGGGTGCGTGTGCCTGCAGTCACATGACTGGAGAAATAAAAGCAAGAAGATCAAAAAATCAAATTCAGGACGGGAGAGATGGCTCCATGGTTAAGAGCACTTGTTGCTCTTGCAGAGGACCCAGGTTGGGTTCCCAGCACCCATATAGCTGTTCACAACAGTTTTGGAACTCCAGTTCCAGAGAATGCAATGCAATGCCTTCTTCTGGCTTCCATGTATATGTATGTGGTACATATACATGTGGTACACTGTATGTGGTACATACATGCAGGCAAGCACTCATACACATAAAATAAATGTTTTTTTATGCAAAGTCATCCTCAGCTACATAGGGAGTTCCAGGCCATATATAAAACCCCATCTCAAAAGAAAAAAGTCCTCAGATAATTCGGAACCCAGAATGCTGTTCAAGAGGGTGAAGAAAAAGGATTCCCAGGGATACTGAAATTCTTTCCTGCTACTGATGTTCTCTGCTGGAGAACCAGCCAAGATCTGAAGGACACAAGGAATCCAGGAGGGACTTACAGGTGCAAAAATCCAATGCAGAGCAAAATCCTAAAATGTATTAGCAGGTGGGGTCATGCTGGTAGCTGATGCCAGGAATGCACCCGTGTGGCGGGAGAGGGTGGCAAAACGCAGGATCTTGGGTTCTCCAGCTAGTCTCGATGGGATTTTCTCATCTGCTTCATTTGCTGTCTGTGTAGTGTTAAGGCATTCCATCTCTGGGGACCAAAACTGTTCTTCACTCCAGGTGTCAGCCTTGGGAAAGTGTGGCCCTTAGAGATGCCCTATGCTCAGATTGCTGACAGCAGTGGTTACACTCAGCAGTTCTTTGGAAGTCCTGACCATTCTGCATGTGACTGCTCTGTTGCCACTGATGTCCCCATGCCCAGGTCTCCCAGGAGCCTCAGTTGTGTGCTGTGGGATGAGCAGTCTCCACACCCCTAACAGCAAAATGGGTAGTGTTTGAGCACTCCACCGTATAAGGAGGCACTGGTAGCTTTAAATGCACAAATGCTGTATTTGAAAATGGGAGTGACCCCAGAGGCTCTAATGTTAAAGAGACTTGGTCCCCTGGGTGGCATTACTGAAAGGGGGTGGAACCTTTCAGAAATGGGGCCTTGCGGTGGGTCTCAGGGCACTGAGGACATGCCCTGGAAGAGGCTAGCAAGGCCTCAGCCTACCCTCTCTCCATTTTGCTTCCAGGGTTTTGGTGTAAGCAGTTTGCTTCAACACGTACTCCCTCACACAGCTCTAGCCTCGGGCCCCAAGTGATAAAGCTGCAGAATTCTGTACAGGATCTCTAAACCCATGAACCTTTCTGCTTTAAAAGTTAACTGCACTAGAGACTTCCTTCTAATCACCGAAAGTTGCTAATACAATGAGCAAATGTTCAATCTGACCTGAAACGGAAGAAATGCAACATTAAACCTCAGAGGTGCCACCTTCCACCCATGGAAGTGCAAGGATTGTGAGCGTCCAGTTCGTGGGAAACAGTGGGCTCTCCCCACATGAGGCCTAACTGCAGATGCACGGTGAGCAAGATCACCGTGGGGGAGCTTCATCTTCTGGCAGTAGCTGCATGTGCCATGTCTCCATCAATGTATTCATGGTCCCTCAACTTAGCACATGTTCACAACTATATTAACGAAGAGCCAGGCATGATGGCTCACCCCTACAACTCTGAAATCAGGGAGGTGCAGGCTGGAGGATCAGGAGTCCAGAGCCTCCTTGGCCACACAGGAAATCTGAGGCTAGTCTAGACTACACGCGACCCTGTCTTAAAACCAGAACAAGATGTAAAGATCAAAGTTATTTTTCTTTTGTTTTTCCTCCCCGTTATTACTTTCTGATGTATTGCTTTATTTTTTGATACTCAAATGAAATAAATGGCACAAAATCTTCAGATTTTCCTGTCTGTTTGTTTTCTGGTGAAGATGTAGGGACAGAGAATCAAGGAGGATGGGGTGTTTGGTAGTGAGCTCTTCAGCTGATTTAGAAACAGGCTTCTTAACTCCAGGTTGGCAATCTGTTCCATGGAAGTCCTTACCTCTTTAAAAATTAATTAATTAATTAATTAATTTTCCCAGCCTGATCACATTTCTCTCTCTCTCCTCTCCTCCAAGTCCCTCCCCCATCTTCCTCCCTGCCCCGTCCCCACCCACTCCTCCTCCTTTCTCTTCAGAAAAGGGCGGGCCTCCCATGTCTATCAGCCAGCCATGGCATGTCAAGCTGCAGTAAGATTAGGCACCTCCTCTCCTATTAAGGCTAGATGAGGCAACCCAGTAGGAGGAAAGGGTCCCAAAAACAGATAACAGAGTCAGAGACAGCCCCTGATCCCACTGTTAGGAGCCCCACAAGAAGACCAAGCTACACAACTGTAATATATGTGCTGAGGTCAGTCAAAACCCACAGAATCAACTAACTTGAGTTCATAGGGGCTCACAGAGACCTAACTGCCAACCAGAGAGCTTGCCTGGGAACTGGCCTAGGCTCTCAGAAAAGTTATTTTTCAACACAGCTTCCTTAGCTGGCTGTGCTGGCACATAACTGTGATCACAGCTACCTGGGAGGCTGAGGCAGGATGATCGCAAGGTTAGGGCCAGTTCCACCACACATCCAGTCTGAGGCCAGCTGGGGCTGCATGATACTCTGACTCAAATACTAAAGGCAAAATGATAGTAATACAGGAAAGTGTATACAGTGTGAAGCCGCCCAGAGGGAGGAGGTGGGAGCCAAAGCCTTGTGTCCACCCGGGCACTGTGCTGTGGGCTCGAATCTTCAAGTTCTCGAGGCAAGAGCTTTGGTTTTTGTTTCTGTTTCTTGTTTTGTGTTTTTCAGGTTTTAGGACAAACTATTCTAACCACATGAACTAAGCTGAGGCTGCTTTTAACTTTTTCTTCCCCAACTGTGTATGATTGTCCTGTCCTCAGGCAACCTACGCAGGTTCCTCTCTGACTTGCTGAGGTCTGAACCACAGAGTTCAGACAAAAGAACGAAACAGTGATAGTCTTTACCCCGTCTCATAGGGCAGCCCAACGAGGGACACTGGGGTCAGATTGGAACTGTGTAGGAAGCCTAGCCTCACTTGGACCTGCTTCCTAGGGCACAAAGCCTGGGTGACTTCCAGGGACATTGGGAGTTGAGGTAGTATAGGTCCTGTGCTGAGGAAGGTGCTTCCAGAGTTGTGGCATGGGGAAGGCTGGAAGGACCGGGTAGGGCTGCATGGCCGCCACTGCTCAGGTGGACTGGATATGAGCAACAAACAGAGCCCTGAAAGCCAAGCGTCCACCAACAAACTGTGGCAGCTCCGAGTTCTCACCCTCGGAGTTCCAGCACTGCCCACAGGTTCACGTATCAAGAGCAATGCACTTGTCAAACACGTTCCCCAAGAGGTGAGCCCTGTTCAGCACCGGAAGTAGCTGGCACCTGGCAGTGCTGTCCAGACCAAGGGTTTCTAGTGTGGGCAGCGACAGTGCTCAGCCTGCTGGAGGGGCCAGAATAAGCGAGGCAGAAGAGACACAGGGCATGGCCAAAGGGAGACACAGAGACAGGTAACGTAGGCAGGAAACCCAGGTTAGTTTTCAGCTGGCTGGCTTTGCTGGGCTAAAGAGCTTCAGGGACAGTTTGCTTCAGTTCCTCCTGTCTCTCCATGAAGCTGATGCCACTGTGAAAGAGGGTAGGTCTGGCCCTTGCTTCCCCTCACAACCCCATGCTACTTTGTTTCACACACAGGGAAGGGGATGCATTAGAAAACTACACACATCATGGCGCACTGTGAGAAATAACACCCCTTTATAACCGTATCGAATGACCCCATGAAACTTCAGCGGGAGGCCACCTTCCTCCTAGGATGTCACCAACGCCTCACGGACCAGGTGTTTACAGGCAGGGTGGACCAGCTCTATGGCTGGCCCTGAGAAGCTGTGGGCTTTTGTGAAGGAGGACCTGGGAGTCTGTGGGTGTACCACATCCATCGTGCCGCAGAAGCCCCTCTGGCCACTGACACCTACCTGTGGAGGATACTGAATATCAGTCCGGGCCCCGCTCTCCAGCAACAGCCTCACCCCATCCACATCCCCAGCCTTCACGGCAAAAAACAGGGCCTGCATGGGCACTTGACACAGGTTGGGATCAGCACCTCGACGTAGCAGCAACTTGATGGTCAGCCAGCGGTTTCTACGTCTGTGGGTACCAGAAGGACAGTGTCACAAGATGGAGGGAATGCACAGGGTGGTTGTCATATCTATGATCTGAACAGGATCCTCCACACAAGGGATAAGGGGTGCTGACAGCATAGACGCACTGTACCCCAGTATCCAGCCTTTCTTGAAAATACCCAAGGTCAGCCCTTCCCAAGGCCCTGGGAGGCTCAGAAATGTAGTTAACATCAGACCTCCCTGTGTGGGCCACCCAAGCCAACCTCAGCTGTGGTCCTGCCAGGCTTCAGCCCAACATGGGTCACTTAACCTCACTGAGATTTGTCATGAGATGGGGACTGGCCCCTACTGGGGTGGGTGCCAGACAGTGAGGTGGATGTACATACACACACACACACACATACACACACACACACACACACACATACACACACACACACACACACACACACACACACACAGACCCCACACTGCCCATGTGCTGAAAATGCAGCCCCACCACAGTGCCCTTGCAAGGATGCTGTCCTAGTTAGGGTTTTTTTCAGTGTGCTAAAACACTATGACAAAAAGCAACTTGGAGAGGAAAGGGTTTGTTTTAGCTTACACTTCCAGGTAACAGTCCATCATTGAGGGAAGCAAGGGCAGGAACTCAAGCAAGGCAGGAACCTAGAGGCAGGAGCTGATGCAGAGGCCATGGAGGAGTGCTGCTTACTGGCTTGCTCCTCATAGCTTGCTCAGCCTGCTTTCTTATACAGCCTAGGACCACCAGCTCAGGGATACCACAGCCCACAATGATCTGGGCCCTTTCACATTAACCGTCAATCAAGAAAACACACACAGGTTTGCCCACCGTCCAATCCGGTGAGGCACTTTCTTAGTTTGAGGTTCCCTCTTCCCAAATGACTCTAGCTTGTATCAAGTTGATATAAAAGTAGTCATCACAGATTCCCAGACAATAGGGCATAGTCTCTAGAAACAGCTCTTAGTGGTGGTGCAGGGCCATGATGGGTAACCACTGAACCCATGACTTACCCTGGAAGCGATCCTCCACCCCTACCACAGAGTTATCAGTGACTCACTCAGCCATGGTCTGCGCCATTTTCCTCACAGTCCCTTTGTCCGAACAGGAGGGAATGTTTAGCAATGAGCTGTAAGCCTGGGCACTCTTCTCCAGGATGTCCTTCGAGACATGGATAGAGTAGTTTCGCATGCACACGTTAGAATCAAAGTTTGTGTCAATGCTGTACACGGTGCTGGCATCCACATTTTCTGCCGTGTCCTCTGGTTTTTTCTCTATGTCACTGCTGGGACTCTTCACTGAGGGGGTGTCTCGCTTGTGAGCCACATTGCTCTTCCAGATGATGGACTCTCGAGATTGTACAGGACCCAGGACCAGGGCATCATCCAGGCTGCTTGAGAGGGGTGGTGATGACTTATAGTCCTCTCCAAGTGGGGTGGGCATGCCCAAATCATAGAAATAATCCATGTTTTGCTCTCCAAACAAGAATGAAATTTTGTGGGTGATCAAGGATTTGGAAGGTTCCTATGGCAAGCACCAAAAAGGTCTCATTAGAGGAAGGAGCTAAGGTTGTTCTCTCCACAGCAGCCCCAGTAAGAACTGGAGTGGTGGCTTGGCACTTCTTCCACAGTCTACACACCCTTGCAAGGGCAGGGACAACTCTGAAGTCACTACCCAGAACTATAAGCAAGCAGCCACTGCTCAGGGCTCACAACACTACCTGTGCCTCCTAAGTTGACAGAACATGACCTGCCTAGAAGCAAGCACCGCTGTGCAAGCCAAGGATAGCTCTCATTCTTCATACTGATTTCACACAGGGCAGGGCTGGTACTAGATACTTGATGCTAGATAAAACTACATCATTACAATTAATTTCACTACTTCCTCATCACTCAAAAATTCTCATTATACACTCGTGTTGCAGCTTAAATTATATTTCTGCCCAGTGGTGCTGCTCCCCATCTCTCTCCTCAGGCACCTGAACCCTCAAAGAGAAGTTCCTAGACTGATGACTACCACACACCTAGGTATCTGTTAGAAATGCAGATTCCCTGGCCCTTCCCTAGCCATGCTGTGAAGAAGGTCCCCCTTTCCAGCATGTTGCTGGGGGAGGTCTCAGGACCCCAGGCTGCTGTGCACGTGGCTCATGGGGAGCACACACCCCTTAGTACATGTGGCATGGCTCAGGATGCCTTTGGGAGGTCCCAGGCTCTCTCTTCTGACCCCTTCCTCACTAGACTTCTCTTTCCGTTTACCATACCTGGGCCTGGTTCACACATCAGGGAGGTGGCTGTGGACATTTAGGTAAATGGGAGGCGTGGCAGATGATGAGGGTGTGGTGGCCAACAGGGGCTGACCTGGGGCAGGGTCCTCTCAGCAACGTTGGGCTGGAAGAATTTGCTGGGGTAATAGTGGAGGAAGCACATGTTGAGGGGCGAGAGGCCCTCATCCGAGAGCTTGTTCACATCAGCCCCATAATCCAGGAGAAGGTTGACAATGTCACGGTGAGAATTGACCTAGAGAGTGACAAGGTCAGACTTGTGAATACAGGAGCTGGACATGAGGAGGACCGCCCGGCATCCATGCTGCCCCCATAAGGCTGCACCGTAGCAGGACACACAACACTCACACTTGGCCTTGGTGAAGGGTGATAGTGTGTAATGGAGAAATCAATGGATCACTCCCAGCCTGCTTCCGTTTGGCCTTGAATATCACACTTGGATGCGTGGGGGCTTGTTGAGGACTGGCCAGCTCCTGTCAGGCACCCGCCGTCAGAGTGGACCACACGAGGGATCCCACAGGCCAGTGCTCCTTATGGGGAAAGGACTTACCGCAGCAGCAGCAAGCACAGTGTAGCCCTTGGAGTCGGCCACATCAGCACAGGCAAGGTTGTCCCTCAGGATTCCAAAAATCCAGTTATAGTCCCCTTCCTCAGCCTTCAGGATCATCTCCCTGGAAATATCCTCCTTAGGGCCAGTGGGCCCAAAGCAGCTGCGGTTGCCCTCCAGGATGGCAGCTATGTTCCAGCTGGTGTGAGCACTCTTGTTCCTGGCAGCACAAGAGGCTTCATTGGCATTAGACTGGAATCTGGATCACCCAATACTTCCCACAAGAAAGAGCCCGGGGTGGGGAAGCTGCCTCCCTCTACCCCTCACTCTTCTGATCCCTCAGAATTCCCCTTCCTGCCTTGGGTGCTCCATTCCCTCAGTGTCCATCACTCCTTTTTCATCCTGAGCCCTAATGGCTGCACTGCCTGCCAGTTACAATCAGGATGGAGTACCCAGTGAGGGAGACATGTGATCTACAGGTAAAGTGCCCATGCTAAGTGCTGCCCCAGCAAGAACTGCAGCCTTGTACGCCTGGCTCCTTGGAATCACTACAGTTTTACTGGGAAATATGCTCTCAATGGCAGGACCGTGAGTGAGCAGAAAGCTGGCATCCACATGGCTCCACTGTCGGAGCCTAGCAAACACATCCCACCTTCTGCTCACTTGCTTTCTGCTAGAGTAGAGAATTTCAGTGTCCCACTGCCCAAGTCATCACACAACACTGAATCTTCCTGTGTGCACAGAACGCAATTCACAATCAAGAACCCATGGATTTTACTCACTCAATAGTTGTCAATGTTTATCAGTTGATAGTTACACAATGGATGGATGGGTGGGTGGATGGATGGATGGATGGATGGGTGGGTGGGTGGATGAGTGGGTGAATGGAGTAAACAGATACATGTATGGATGAACATAGTAAGTGGATGGATGGATAGGTGCATTGGTGAATGCATGGATGGAATGGGCAGGAAGATGGATATGGGGATGAAGATGGAGTGGAAAAACAAGTGGATTGAATCAATAGATGTAAGGGTGGTAAAAGGATGGATGAGTGGGTGGATGAATTAATCAATTGATGGGTCAATGGAGTAGGTGTGTAGGTGGATGGATGGAAGGAAGAATAGATGGATGGGTAGATGGATGGGAAATAGTCATGTGTGCCCATGCATTCTAAAATGTTCACTGATATTTGAGAGTAATGTTTAAGGATGTAAGAATAGTAGAAGGTACTTGAATATTTTAACTTTTAAGGTAAACAGTTTTCCCTGGGTGGGTGCTGACTTTCCCCGGGCTGTGGCTATGGAGGGTATCTTCAGAGATGACAGGGCAGTGCCAGTTTTCATGGCTTTCCTTGCAAAAGCCAGAGGTCTAATCAGTTTGCAGCCCCCCTCCCTCCCCCAAATTCCACCCTCGGTTCTCTGCCAGCCCCTTCATTAACAAAGGATAGTAATAGCAATCTCTTCTATTATGTTGGTGTGTAGCAACTTCACTCACAGAGCCTCTAATGGCAGGCAGGAACCTGGCCTTAAAGTGCCCAGGCTCTGGCTTACAGAAGAGGGAATGTACACAGGTCCGAAAGCCAAGGTTTGCCCTCAGGGGTCTGCTCAGGAGTTTATCCTAAGTCACATCCCTTTCAGGGGTCCGCCCCTGTTCTGGGACTGCAGTGGCTGCTCATTGATGAGCTATTCCTGGACTCTCCTCCCCCAGAGAGTGGGCTAACGGAAGCCAGGAGTCCTTGCTCCCCAACACAGTCACAGAAGCCTCACAGCTCTACCTGGCGCCCTACCCTCAGGGTACCTGTCTAGTCTCACAGCACAGTGGGGGCTGTTTGAGTCACTGAAGCAAATGCTGTGCTCACGTTTATCCAACAAGAAATGCTGAGAGGTCCTCGGGTCCTTAGCCGCAGCCCAGCAAAGGGGAACATCAGAACCCTTCCCAAAGGGGACCCCTATTCAACGAGGGAACAAGATGGGGAGAAAGACCAGGCTGATCACCTGAACTTGTAAGTTTGCTTCTGGATTTTGACCAACAAAGGAGTCTCATTTGTTATAAGCCAGGGTTCTTCATCCTCAATGAATGGAGGGATCTCATTCATGAAGATGCGGTCATCCAGCTCTCTGCGCAGGGAGCCTGTCATGGGCAGGTGGTCGTTGTCGGTCGAATAGACATGCATCTCTGGAGGTAGCGTTAGGTCATCATTCAGGAGAAACCGTTTATAGTCATAGAAGAAAGGGTCCTGCTCCTCGGGAAGACCCCACTCCGCCTTCTCCTCATCTGAGAGACTGATTCTCCCCCTTGAGCTTGTGAGGAAGTCTAAGAATTCTGGATAGTTCAGCAAGGAGAAGCTGTTGGGAACCTCTGTCCCCAGCTTGAGGAGGTGCTCACGGAACCACAGTCCAACATCCTGACTGCCATCGGGGTAGGTCTCAATGCCTGGCCCGAACCGTAGGTCCTCTTTATACAATCCCTATAGCGGAAGCCCACAGGGCCAAGAGAGACACTCAGTTGAGCTTTCTACTTAGCTGCAGTTTCATAAAATCAGCAAAAGAAAATGCACTCCTGCTCATTCACTACACACACACACACACACACACACACACACACACACACACACACACACACACACACACACTGAGGTATGAGGTATGAGGTGTGCTGGGCACTAGGACAGAGCAAGGTCATCATGTTCAGACAGAATGTAGGTGCATGGAGAGGGTGCTGTGGCCAAGACAAAGGGCCAGGCTAGGAGTGGCCTCTCTAAGGTAAGGACACGACAAAGAGCTACAAGCTGAAGCTGTGATGGAGACAGGTGGGTGTGTTCATTCCCAAGAGACTCCTGCAGGCCTGAAGTCGGCTACTAGTCAGGCAATGTTATCTACAAGCTTCTATGCTTATGAGGACAGGGAAACTGCCACTTGTGATGTTGCAGTCACTGAACATCAAAGTCTTATTATTTATTTACTTTGGATAAGGTCCTTCAGAGATGCTTATTAGGAATGAGTCCCCCATTCCATCTGTCACTCCGATTCACCCCAGAGTAGAGAGGAGGAGGAGGGAGGAAGAGGACAGGAAGAGGAAGAGGAGAAGAATTGCTCTTTGCTTTCCATGACCCCAAGGGAGAGTGCAATTTCTAGGCTGTTCTAAACACTTCCATCACTACCTGCCTCGGGTGTGCAGAGAAGAAAGGATCCCAGACAAGAACACAGTGAGCAGTGGGCTGGTGCAGGGGTCAACGTACAGGCTCGCCTTCCCGCAAGAAGGGCCTCTTCTAAAGCAGTGTTAAAAGATGTCTGGAGGTCACGGGGAAGTCAAAGGTCAAAGCCATAGGCCTAAAATATGGAAACAATGGCGGCTGTGCCCTCATCCACCATCAGCCAATCTCATCTGAGCTTCCTGGCTTCAGTCTGAGGTGGGCATAGGTGATGTGAAGGTCTGTAGCCTGACAGAGTGGATTGTGAGAAAGGAGTACAGTGTCTGAGGGTGGCTTCACTCTACAGGGGGTTGCATGGGGCGGGCGGCAGACACATTTCCAGAAGACCCTGCGAGGGGCTGAGGTGGTGGAGTGGGACATAGTGAGGAGCCCGGTGGTCTGCAGGCCTGATGGGCCCAACAAGGAGGCCGCACCCTTATCCGGAAAGCTCAGCTTAGGTAGCAGCTATGAAAGCAGGTGGGGTCAGAAGAGACTCTAGGGAGCCAAGCAAGGCAAGGGCCAGAGGGAAAGAGGCACTCCAGGGGAGAGAAGCTGTCACATGTGTGCGCGGAGTCCACAGTGCCTGTGTTCAAGACCCAGCAGCTCTCCTGATAGGAAACAACTCAAAAAGATAATCCGAACACCAGCAGAGCCACACAGGCTGCGTCCTCAGGACAAAACAGACTTGTATTCCCAGCTACTCCAGTGTGAGACAAGGGGACTACAAATCCAAGGCCAAGCTGGATTGCAGGGTGAGTTCAAGGTCAGCCTGGGTGAGTCAGTAAGACCCTTTCTCCAAATAAAAGCTAAAAAGAGGGTTGGGGTGTAGCTCTCTGGCACAACACTGCCTAGTGTGCACAAATCCCTAGGTTTAACCTTAATTGCACTTAACTTAGTCGTCAAAAGAAACCCCGGTGCTGAGGAATATTTTTAAATTGTATCACTGATAAATACTCATATGGCAGAATTAGCATAAAGAGCACTCTAACTGTAATAACATAAATAACCCCATTAATATCACTAACTAAACATGTAAACAGACAATTCATCCCAAAAGACATACAGACAACAAACAGGAATGAGACAGAATCAGCATCGCCTGCCATCGATGCGCTCCCAACCACACCACAAGGAGACGTCACAATGTGCCCACAAGAATACTGATGTCAAAAAGATGGACTGACAGCGTGGAGTCACTGAAGCGTTTATTGATGGCTGAAGTGGCCTGACCACTTTGCAAAGCACTTTGGAGGGTTCTTAGAAAAATGATTGCACACTTACCGTTGTAACTAGCATTCTCACTCTTATGTATTTGTGCAAGTGAGAATAAACGTGTGTGTCTACATGAAGTCTGAGAGGCAGCTGTTCTTAGCAATTGCCTCTCAGTTCAAAGTAACCAAAATGCAACCTCTTTTGGTGAGTTAAAAGGAAGCAAGCAAACAACAACAGCAACACCAAAACCAAGAGATAGCCACACAGTGAAATACTTATCTATAATAAAACTAAGTGGAACACAGAAAAGCACGAGTCTCAAAAGAATCATACCCTAAACAACAGAAAGCAGACAGGAAGTACTACAAACAGCATGATTCCATTCATAAGAATGTAAAGAGTGATATATATATATATATATATATATATATATATATATATATATATGAACAAAAGCGTGTGTGTGTGTGTGTGTGTGTGTGTGTGTGTGTGTATGTGTGTGTGTGTATGCCAGACAGTGGTGGCGCACGCCTTTAATCCCAGCACTGGAGAGGCAGAGGCAGGTGGATCGCTGAGTTCAAGGTCAGCCTGGTCTACAAAGGGAGTTCCAAAGACAGCCAGGGCTACACAGAGAAACTCTGTCTTGAAAAACCAAAAAACAAACAAACAAACTATGCATCTCCTGACATGCTGTCAAAAAAAAAAAAAAACAGCTGGAAAATATGTGCTTTTAATATATCTAAAAATAGTATATAACTCAAAACAGGAAAATGGAGTTGAAATAGTCTAAACTCATTCTTGCGTTTTTCAAATCAAGAACTTATCCTGTGATGTTGGGGCGGGGGATGGAGGCCTAAAAGGATAAGGAGTGTAAAACTTCTAAACCAATAGTCTGAAGATAAGATAATGCTTTTGGTTTTAAAAATCTCCTGTCAATCCAATTAAGGTCAGAAAAGAAAAGGGAAATGCTGGACGGTGGGGTCAGCACAGCACACAGGAGGCAACAGACTTCATCCCGAATGTACTTCTACTGATGCTGAGTGTGCCTGGTCAAAGGCAGGTGAGAAACCGTTGGCTAAACATGTGATTCGAAATTTGCCAGTAGCAGCACCACAAAAAGTAAAAATCTGGATCCAATTCTATTTTTATTATTATTTTTTTCAAGACAGGGTCTCATGTATCCCAGGCTGGTCTTGAGCTAAGTAGCCAGAGATGGACTTAAATTTCCGACCCTCCTGATTCCACCTCCTGGATTGCAGGCATGCACTCTTGACATCTGGTTTGTGTGGTGCTGCTGATCACACTCTCTGCCGAGTGGGCTGCATCTCCTGTCCTGGGGTGGGATTCATTTTACTGTAGTATTTACATTTAGTTCAACCTTTCCAAATTATCACTTTTAAATATATCTATTGTTGAAAACTTTTCAGATATTTTACTTTTCTTTTTCTTAATAAGTCTTGGTGATCTGGTCTGCAGGAGCTGAGGGTATAGCTCAGTAGAGCATGTTCCCAGGCATGTGTAAGGCCCTGGGTTCCACCCTAGCACTACCAAAATAAAGAACTTGGTGTGTGCTCCACATTTACAGAACACCTTAGTTTGGAGAGCTGTACCTCAACCATTCAGTAGACACCATCGTGATGGCTTGGGGCCACTGCATGGGACAAGGCAGACCTAACTGTCCAGTCACCATTATTGAACTAAAATTAAATAAGCACACACACACACATTTTCAAAAAATAAAGAGAAGAAATATCTATAATTATTTAAAATTATGGTGACAGATATGCCACAGTGAAAATAATGTCCCCAAATTTATATATAACTTTATTAACATTAAATTTAAACTTTGGGTCATGAAATATTGAAGAGGGTTTTTGTTTGGTTTAGTTTTGGTTTTGGTTTTCGTTTTTTGTCTTTTTCATTTGTTTGTTTTTGAGACAGAGTCTCTCTCTACAGTCCCGGCTGTCCTGGTGTTTGCTATACAAACAGGCCAGCCTCTGATTCATAGATAGCCACCTGCCTCTGCCTCCCAAGTGCTAGGACTAACCCTGGCCTGAAGAGATTATTTTTAAAGCGGATATATCAGTTCATTATAAAAGGGGCCAGGCATAAGACAAATACCAGGGACATACAAATAAATCTAAAATTTTACTCATTAAATGAGTAACATGGTATCAAAGAATATAAAGCTGAATGTGGCACTGTAAGGAGTCTTTTAAATTTTTTCCTTTTTGGTGAGACATTCTAACTCACCATGTTCAAACACTGGCAGGGTCAGTGAAAAAACAAAACCAAAAAAAAGAAAACCCACTTTTTCAACTTCACGCAACACAAACAGTGAAAATATGTGACTCAGGAAACATTGTGGTCAACAACTGCTGAAATGCATTTAAACGCTGGCCAGAGAGACTTGCTATGCAAACCGAGTGGCCGGAATTCCATTCCCTGAACCCACGTCAACGTGGAACCAACCCCACGAAGTTGTCCTCTGACCTTCATGTGAACAAACAGATTTAAAAAACAAAAGAACACTACAGAGTTAGCCATGCTGGGTAGACTCAGTGAAAAGGGCCTGTATCCCAGCTGTTCAGGAAGCTGGGCAGGATGACTGCAAAGTCAAGACCTGCCTGGGTTACAGAGTGAGTTCAAGGCCAGTCTCAAAATAAGTAAAAAGAGAGCTAGGAATGTAGTTCAGCATTAGAGCATTTGCCTTGCATGCACAAGGCCCTCGGTTTGATCTTTAGCAACACAAAAAGAAGAACAACAAAACTGGCCATGGTCTAGGTCATCACACAAGTCACAGCCAATTTAAAGAACCAAAATCATGCAAATTAAGCAAGCACACAGGAAATCAGTAGCAAAATGTCAGCAGAAGCCAAAATCTAGACGTGAAAAACAATACTCATGACAAGGAACCACGGGTCAAAAAGCAATCAGGGCATAAATTAAAATGCACTTTGAACTGGCTGGAAGTGACAATATGAGGGAATTGAAACTGTGGAACATAGAGCCAATGTGTACATCCGACAAAAGCAGGCAACCGGTAAGTGAGAAAAGCTTAGAAAATCACTGGAGGCAGGGGTGCACAGGGAGGGTGGACAGGAAGAAACTGACGGTAAAACAGAGCCAAACAGACAGGTAAGCTGGAGCAAAAGCTGATTCTCTGAGGGAAACAAACAACAAAACTGATAAACACCTGGCCAGGGGGAGGGGACTTCGTGATAGGCTGTCTGGCTCTCTGTTAGGAAGAAACTAGCCCCACCCACAATGAGGCACATAATCACTATTAACAAGGATCACTAGCAACACTGAGTGTTCACGGCATGCAGACTGGCATCTCGCAGCCATTGGCGGGGAACAGAGCATCATAGACAGGGAGCATTCAGACACGTGGCCCCCCAGGCTACACTTAGAAGTTTTCCCAGGGAAATGAAAACCTGCATTTAATGTTTACATGCACTCAAAAGCAAACTAAACATGTGTGGGCCACAGCTTTATTGCCCCAGACAGGAAACTGTCTAAAGGACGTTCAGTTAAGCTGTTGTGGCTTCATACTGCGGAGACTTCGGTAACCAAAGAAACTACAGGAACACTGAGCCGTGGGGAGGGATCAGCCCTACGGGCCAAGAGGAAGACACTGGACCCAGCTCTGCAGGGCTCCACCGTGTGGCCCTCACTTGCAAAAGCAAGATTACAAGCAGAAGGTTACCATGACTGAACTGAACATTGACCACAAAGGCACAGGGCAGCGACGTGAGGGAAGGAAGCCATTTTGTGCCCCAAACACACAAATCTACGCTTGTTGAAACTTTCTATTAATAGAGTGTATATAATTGTGAATGATATATAATAAGGAAAGTCATGTATATTTTTTTCCTCCAGGAGTGATGGGGTGGGGGAAAGGCAAGTTTTAAATAATATGTATAAGAAAGACCCATTTTATACATTAAAAATAAACATTTATCTTATTTTTAATTCAAAAGATACATATCTTGATAACATCCTTCTGGGACTAGATAGATGCATTTTTTGTTTTTTATTTATATTCTTATTATTGGTAGTATTACAGTCACTAAAATAAGAAAGCTACTTCTGTGGATGTGTCTTTTTTTCTTTTTCTGGAGCTGAGGACCGAACCCAGGGACTTGTGCTTGCTGGGCAAGCACTCTACCACTGAGCTAAATCCTCAACCCAAGAAAGCTACTTCTATTTAAACTTTTCAAGAACCAAAGTATCTTTTTCTCCAGTGGTCTAGATAATGGCTGTATCCACTATTCATCCAAACACACAAAGGCCCCACCTGACATAAACACACAGAGGCCTACCCCTCACATGTCTTCACACAGTAGCCTTGCCCCTCATGAACATGTAGCAGCTCCTCATATAAACACACAGTAACCCTGCCCCTCACATGAACACACAACAGCCTGACCCCTCATGAACACACAGAGTGATCCCCCCTATCACATGATCACAGGATCTCCTCACCTGGAATAACTTCGTTTTCGTGAACATGGTGCCATAGCCTTCTCTTTGGCTGAGGTAAAACATGCCTGTGAAGCTGGAGCCATCCGGCCATCTGTAGGTGCCCACACCATGGCAGTGGTCCCTGTAAAACTGCCCTCGGTAGGTCTATGGAGTATAGAGGCTAGTGAACCTCCCGTCTGGGAGAAGGCACTCCCCTCTGGAACCCCGACCCTGCACTAACTGCTAAGTCAGGCTACCATACCTGGCTGGCAGAAAATAAGGACCACAGAACTACGATAGCCTTCTTGGGTACCCAGACAAGGCTTCTCTCAGTCCAGGTGACCAATGTGATAATTGTCACTCAAAATACCCAGAGAGGCCTCCAGGCAGTCATCCTTATGAGTACACCCTCCCTGCCCTCTGCTCTGGTACAGACTTGGGGGGGCCGGTGTCAGAAATGCCTGGAGCTGCTGCCAGGCCAGCATCCACCCTAGGACTCTTAGGAGTCCTGGCCCCACCCTAATGAGCTCTTCATCAGATAACAGAGGCCAGGCTGGCTGGAGGATGCCTGTTGGTGGGGACCCTGGGCCTAGTTGAGGACAAGGTAAGGTTGACTTATGGCTCCTCAATACTGGGTCCATTGTGGGCCTCTGTGTCCTTGTCCAGAACTCACCTTCAGGTGAGAATGTCAGATGGGTGTTTCAAAGGGCGTGGGAGAGGAAAGGAGGGTGTCACCCATATCCCAGGCACTGTCCTTGATTTGTATGCTGTGAGGTGGCATCTCCCTCCCCAGAAAAGGCTGGGCCAAGATCTCTTAGCTATGATTTCTCAAGAAGTCATGAACAGTGGGCAAATGAGAAACCAGGTGAAGACTTGAGACACAAACACACAGGTATAACCATCATCATGGAGCCCCACATTGGCTCCTGACATCCCTGAGTTCTAGGACTGGGCTAGAGGCTCTGCCCACAGCTGCTCCCATTCACGGTCTTAGAGGACTCCTACCTTTCTTCCCATCCCAACACCTCATTTCTCCTAAGACCCTATCCTAAACAGCTGCTCTTTCCCCACCATTGCCTTCCTCTGGACAAGTGTACCTCCAGGGATTCATAGCCACCCCCACCCTGTGTAACGCCCCTGCTCTGAAATGCTCTCACCAGAAAGAGTAGATGGCCATAGCATGCCTACCTCTCTCCTGCCCCAGGCCACAACTGCCTGGGTCAACACAGCCTCCTGACTGGAGCTGGGCTCATGGGACTTTAGAAACGAGGCTGAGAAAGTCCTGCCCCTTCTACTGTTTCTTGAACAAATGAGAGGGACTAGATGTGGGAAGGAGGACCAGACCAGGTAACCCCAGCCTTGGGCACCAAGTTAGAGAAGCCCTTGCCAGAGGTAAAGGTACACTTGGAACAAAGGAGCAGAACAGGAGCCCATGACCCCCCAGATGTCATGAGCAGCACCAGACTGGAAAGGCTCCAGTACCAGGGCTCTTAGACTGCCTGTGGCAGTTTGAATGTAACTGGCCCCCATAACCTCACAGGGAGTGGCACTGTTAGGTGTGGCTTTGTTGGGGTAGATATGGCCTTGTTGGAGGAAGTGTGTCACTGTGGGGCCAGGCTTTGAGGTCTCTTGCTCAAGGTTTGCTCAGCATCACCATTTCCTTCCACGCCTGCAAGATGTAGGACTCTCAGCTGCTTCTCCAGCACCCTGTCTGCCCGCCTGCTGCTGTGCTCCAGCCATGATGATAACGGACTGAACCTCTGAAACTGTAAGCCAGCCCCCTAATTATATGTTTCCCTTTATAAGAGTCGCTGTGGTCATGGTGTCTCTTCACGGCAACAGAAACCCTAACTAAGACACTGCCCTAGACTTTATCCAAGTCCTCTATCCGGACGCAGATCATAGGAAGACAGAACCTCCAGGACTCTTCATAGCACGCGTCCCCGGTGACCCGGCCAGGCTTCCAAACACAGCACACCCCCGGCTTGGCTGCACACTCAGCTATTGTACCCAACCAGTGACCCAGGAAACACAAACAGATTTGGTCATGGGCCCCAGTTTTGGGTCCCTGCCTCCAAGAAATCTTCGCTTAGGTCCTGGGCATAGCCTAGCAGAGGAGGCCTTGGTGCATTTTCATTTTATAGTTAAGAATATCCTTTGCCATTATTTTGGTCTTAGACAGCAAGCAATATCAACAAGGCAAAATATGTGAGTCTCTGCAATAATTTGAAACTTTAAAATATTTCCCCACCTGGGGGAAGCCTACTACTGTTGCTTTGCCAAATTGATACGTTGTCAAGCTACCTTCTAAATGTTTATATTTATATCCACTGATTAGTGCTGCCCTCAACCTTGGTCAGAGAAGCTTCTTTTTGCAGTGGGCATCAGTCAGTGCAAAGGTTCGTAACTGGTCAAAGTGCTAAGGATAAGTGATTCGTAAGTATTCAGCCCTTAATGGGACATCTGTATCTATCTCCCACCGTCAAGGCTCAGGGGATGTTGTTGAAGAAGTGGGGAGAGAATGTGCGAGGGGGGAGCTGTAAAGTATTGGTCTCTGGACATGACATAGCTATGACACTCGTGAACCCACAGCACCTATGGCTACCTGCGTGGGACCTGCCTAAGAGTCCAGAGCAGGTGAGGGAAGGGCCCCACCCTTAGCTGAGGAGCTATTTATTGGCAGTTACTGGCTGCTGAGGATGAGAAAGTCAGTCTTCTCTGGGGGTGTGGCTGCTGGTAGGTTGCCTGTGTACCAGTGGAGGGCCCCACACCCATGCCAATGTGAGGAACACTAATTGGACTCAGTAAACTATTTTAAAAAGAGAGAGAGGGGACATTAAGATGGGAAGGGGACATTGAGTGGGTTGGAGGGAGTGGAGAGTGGGGTAAATATGCTCCAGATAAATTCTATACATGTATGAAACTGTCCAAGAATAAATAAAATATTTTAGATAATAAAACATTTACTCAGAATAAGAAATTATCTTCTTCAGTCACAGCTTCCCAAACCCCATGCATGACCCCCAGGAAACAGTGACATGAAGCAGAAATGTGCAGAGAACTCCTGTAGAAAGCCTTAACCCTATCCTATGGGTCGCTTCAAAGGTTCACAACACCTGCTCTCAGGAGAAGGACCCCTGCTGAAGCCACCTACCTCGCCTGTGGGCCAAGAGAACTCGCCGTATCCGAGCTTCATGTTGAGTCCGAACTCCCCTCTGTAGACACAGCCATCCTGCCACTCCTGAACCCCTTGAACGAGCTCGATGTAGGCCTCCTTCAGGTCCGGCTCTCTCGGGGGGCTTTCAGACTCCTCCTCATCCTCCTTGGGGTCCACTGAAGTGTTCCTAGGAAGACAGAGAACTAAAGAAAGAGCAACTAGGAACATTGTAAGAGTGACCATGTGTGGAGTACCACCCCTCCATCTCATGTCACTCTCCAGATAACCCCAAGGCTCCAGATTTCCCCAAAGGGAAACTGGAGCATAGACGATGCAGTGAAATGAACTGTACAGGAAGGGTACAAACGGGCAAGAGTAAATGTGCCCACCCCTGAGACAGGACCAGTCAGTCCCTCTAGCTATTTCCAGATTGCCCACAGCACAGTCCTCCCTCTTGAGATGCAACATCAGCCCCAGGATGGGCAAGAAACAGACGCTCAAACACACAAGTAGACCCGGGAAAGGTATGAGAGCAGTTGGAGGGGCAGCAAACTGACAGACAAACGGACAGATGCAGGATGCATGAATCCTGTAGGGAGAAGTGTGTCCAAGGCAGGTTGCCTTCCTCCCATCCTTGTGTTCTGAAGGGATGAGTTGTGACTTAGACAAGGGTCTCAGCCTAAATCCATGACACTCCCCCTCTCAGCCTCCTCTCAGGATGCTGTGTGCTGATGCCTGTGCTCTGGAGACCAATCCCAGTGTCTGGCTGGTGGCTAGATTGGCAGCACACAACATGGGATCCCTCAGACCCTGTGATGATTAACCTGGGCTGTCAAATTGACTTCATCTGAAATCAACTAAAACCCAAGCAGTTGGGCATGCCTGTGAAGGATTTTTTGGATTGGATCATTTGAGGAGAGATGATTCATGCTAAATCTGGGCCACACTGTCTGGTAGCAGCCAGGACATGGGAGGAGGAGGCTTTTGCGTCTGCTTGTTTGCCCTTCCTCGTGCTGGCAAGCTCATCTATCCTGCTTGCTGACGCATCTTTGCTGTTATGAGAACCTGCTTCTTTGGTGTTATAACAAATACCAAAGATCAGCTAAAACATCCAACCTTGCGGCCTCAACAACTACAAGATTCTTGGCCTTTCTTTGAGAAGACAAATTGTTGAACTACTCAGATCACAGCCTGTAAGCCACTTTAATAATCATATGTATGCTGGGAGGTGGTAACAGCACTCGGGAGGCAGAGCCAGGCAGATCTCTGTGAGTTCGAGGCCAGCCTGGTCTACAGAGCAAGATCCAGGACAGGCACCAACACTACACAGAGAAACCCTATCTCAAAAAAAAAAATCATATATATACATAGTATATGCATTGTACTATTGTACTATTATATATTGCTGTGGAATAATCCTTTTGTGCACTGTGAAGATTTGTCATGTGGATTGGTTTAATAAGAAGCTGATTGGCCAGTAGGTAGCCGGGCAGGAATTATAGGCAAGACAACCAAACTAGGACAAGGATGGGTAGAAGGACAGAGTCAGAAGAGATGCCAGCCAACCGCTGAGGAAGCAGGATGTAGAAAATCAGGAAGCAAGCCATGTGGCAAAGCATAGATAAGAAATACGGGTTAATTTATACATAAGAGTTAGGTAGTAACAAGCCTGAGCTATTGGCCGAGCATTTATAATTTATATTAAGTCTCTGAATCAGTTATTTGGAAAGTGGTTGCTGGTTATTTGGGAACAGGCGGTCAGAACAGGAAACATCCACCTACAAATGGTGCCCACCATCCAGTGTAGATCCACATAAGACATGAAAAAGCTTTAAAAAAGTTCTAAACACACAAAAAAAAAATGGAGCCAGACACGGCTTCCTAGTCTCACAGTCTCACACCAGCCACAATGCAGAGACTCATCTCCCAACAGCTGCCTGCAAGATGGAGCTGGCTGCAGTCACCATGAGCCAATCAGCATGGCAGGTTCACGAAGTCTCTCTCATGTGCTGCACTACAAAGAGGCTTCTCCCAGCTGCTGCCTGTAGGCTTGAGAGCTCCACCAGCATGCTACATGGCGGGTTTAGGGCTTTTGCTCATGCAGACAGGAAATCTTACAGATACACAATAAAGACGGATTCAGATGGGAAAAACCTATAAACGGGTTACAGTGTGTTTAAATATACACATAGCCTTGGGAGAGAAGAGAAAAAGGGTTGAGAAAGGCCTTAAAAAGGGAATAAAGTAACATAAAAGAAAAAAGCCAGGTAAAGATGGGAAATACACGGAGAGCCTGGATCCTGTGTGTATACACGTACATACACACAGGATATTCTGTCAGTTGTTTCTTTAAAGAACCCTGACTAACACAGCCCTAACCCAATCCACCAACCAGCCCTTGAATGCCTGTTACGGGCCACTAAGCCTAAGCTCGGCATCTACCCCATAAAGAAAGGATCCCACTTCGAGAAGACAGAACCCACGTTTGGTAAATTACATAGACAGAATGAAGTGAAGAAGGACAGACACCCAAACTATCCTGGTGAGGCTGAAGGCACTGTTGTGGGTGCTGCGAATTCTTTTTCTTCTTTCCTTTTTTCTCTCCAACAGGTCTCCCTGTGGCACAGGCTGAGGCTGGCCTCAGACATAACATACGGCCGATGATGAACTTGCACTTCCAATCCCCCTGCCTCCACCTCCCAGGTGTGCAACCACAGGCATGCACGGCCCTGACAGGTTGTGCGGTGTTGGGAACTGGAGCCAGGACTTTGTGCATGAAGGACAAACCATTGAGCCCCATCCCCAGCCCTGAGATGTAAATTCTCATGTTAGAATACTAAACACCAGTAGCTCAGAAATGTCCTTACAGAGATAACCGAGGTCATCAGGGTGGGCTCTAGGCCAGTACGACTAGTATCCTCATAAGAAGGAAACCTTCATCTGGACATAGAGACATACACAGGGGAGATGAAGGGAACAGACCAAGGGAGGAGGAATCAATACAAGCCAGGAGAGAGAAAGGGCGTCAAGCCCGAGGCCCTTTGATTTTGCGCGTCTGCCTCCAGAACGGTGCGGGGATGGAACCAGTATTGCGCCATCTGGCCTTAACACTTCCTTACAGAGATCCTAGCAAAGTGAGACTTGGCCTGCGGTTCCTTCCTTTCAACATGGCTCAGGGGCCACTTGGATAACTCTTGGAAAAGGCTATCATCAGTAAGAGGAAAGAAGGGGAATTTTTTCCTAAAAAGAAAGAAAGAAAGGAAGAAAGGAAGGAAGGAAGGAAGGAAGGAAGGAAGGAAGGAAGGAAGGAAGGAAAGAAGGAAGGAAGGAAGAAAAAAAGAAGTTTGGAATCAAGAAAATCAAACCACAACTGTGTGAGTGATGGCATTAGAGGTGGCCCGCTGGCACAGAAACAGTCACCTGGCTCTGCCACTTCCAATTGCTTGTCCTACCTGGGCTCCGGGGTCCCTTCATGACTTAGCTTCTTCACCTGTGAGATGGGGACTGTATGCGTCTGCAGCAGCAAACCACCCATGCTTGCTTACTTCCCTGGTCCTAGGGGCTGGAGGTCCAAGGCCCAGACAGCAGCCTATTTGAGCTCATAAGGTCATGGTTCCTAGAACCTTGTGGGTGTGGGCTCAGGTTGGCAGAGAGGGTGGAGAGAAAAAAAAAGGCAGAGATCTGACCTGGTCCCTCTTTCTCTGATTATAAGAACTCTAGTCCTATCATGAGACTCTACCCTCATGACCTCTTCTGAACTTAATGGCCTTCCCAAGTCTAGCCTCCAAGCATCGTCACATTGGGATTTAGAGTGTCAGCATGAATTTTTAGGTGCGTAAGCATTCAACCCCAACCCACAGCAGGGGCAGCAAGTACAATGAGTGCAGTGCAGGTGGGGGGTTTTAGTACAAACAAGGCTCTGCTGGGGCTCCCGGCCCAAGCGGCCCTGCTATTGTCCACCGAGTAGTGAAGGAGCTGTGATGGTAACAGGATGGAGCAGGGCCGTTCCTTCAGCTGCCCAGAAGTGAATAGGATTATGCTGACCATCTCAAGAACAGACAGGGGATTCCTGCTGCTCGTTGCCCATCCTTTTTCCTCTTGGATTGGTATAACTGAGAGTTTTCTCTCTCCAGAGACTAGGCTTAGGGAGGAGGACAAAAGAGGCTTTAAAGATTCAGTAGTAGTAGTAGTGGGAGGAGGAGGAGGAGGAAGGAGGAGGAGGAGGAGGAGGAGCAGGAGGAGCAGGAGTGTAGTAGTAGTATTGGAGTCAGTAGCCCTAGCTGGCCTGGATTGCCTTATGTAGGCCAGGCTGGCCTTGAACAGACAGATCTGCATGCCACCATCTCCCCAATGCTAGGATTAAAGTAGGGTACCGCCACACCGGGCTCCCTTTAGCGATCTTTAAGGCCTGCCCCAGTATTGAATTCCAACTGCCACATGGCCCTGTGGTGCTGATTGCACCTTCCTGCCAGCGGGTCCCCTGCACCTTCTGGAGAAGAAGGTGTAGCTCCTCACGGAGTCCTGGCTCTCAGTGTCAGGAGACTGACCACTCCGCCCCTCCAGACCTCTGGAGCTGATTGTTTTCGAGCCTTGGGAGTCCAAAGTGACAACGGAGCGAACGTCGTCCATGTCTCTCCTCTTTAAACCTAGAAGCAAATCTGTGTTCACAATTCGCCCTCAGGACCGAGGACAGTGGCAGCTAGGGGACCCGCCCGCAGTCCCACCGGTCTTGGGTGACCCTCTTCGGAGTCTCCAAGTAGACCCCTCTAGCTCCTGAGGGCTCACTGGCCTTCCTGGGGGGGTTCCCTGGCCTTCCCAAAGCAGTCGTCACCCAGGGCCGTCAGGACCACATGGGAATCTAGCCTTGCCCGCTGACCTCCAAGTCACCCTCAGCAGACAAACACTTGGCCTAGACTGAACCAAGCATCTCAGCGTACCAAGCGGTGTAGACCCGCTACAGGAGCGCGTCACGTTGCCCTGGAGACGGCCACGCCCACGGTGTGCTCCCAGCCCCAGCCAATCGGAGCCAGGTTGCGCTGACCCTCCCCCATCCCTCCGCCCCAGACTCGCCCCTGAACAAGCCTCGGCCAATGCACGAACGGAGCTGCGATTACCACGCCTCCTCCTAGCCACCGCCAATCCTGAGCTGGCCACGCTGGCTCCACCACCGCCACGAGCCTTCCTGTGAAAGCTGGCTCGGGGTGTCAGCCCCACACTGCCAGTTAGCTTTTGAGCCAGAAGCGGCCAGCATTCCTAAAGAGAAAGACCCCCTGCGGCCAAGGCTTGATTAAGGCCGTCTGACTGCCAAGCAGTGGTCGTTAGCAAAGCCCTAGACCGCAGCCTGGTCTTGGCAGAGAGGAAGACCTCTAGAAGAGGAGCTTCTAGAACAGGGTTGCAGAGAGGATGCACTGGAGTGCGAATCTAGAGCCACATTGAGGGGCTGGGTACCAATGTGGCCCGGGGCCATGAGTGATGGGAGGAGCTGCAGGTGGGGATGCTGGGCCAAAACACATGATGTGCTGAAATTTTGTTTATATTCCTAAATGTATACATGGACACAAAGATCAAGAAGCTATATTTCCACAGTTTGTCATAAATGTCCACTAGGCACAGTGGCACAAGCCCCTCATCCCAACACTTAGGGGTTGAGGCAGGAAAAATCACTGCAAGTTGGAGGTTAGCCTGGATCACAGAGACCTTGCATCTTCTCAACCCCCGACCCTTCCCAAGTTACTCAAAAAGAATGTTTTCATAATATGCTAACATTCATTAAGAAAACCTAGTAACATTAGCTTTTTAAATTTTGGTGAATCGGTAAACTTAGCAGATTCCACAGATCTGATAGTTGGAAACTGATCTCGGGCCAACTTGCTTTCAGCAAATTAGCGGCTTGCCTTGCCAAAATGGGTAACTGCAAACATGAGGATACTGAGCCAGTGCCGCTGCTGCGGAATCCAGTGAGTCACGGGCTGGGAATGGGGCCTTTTCTACTAAAACTGTTAAAGGCTGAAAGATTAGCAAAGAAAATCACTTGAAATCACATACTAGACCCAAGTTTGATATTTGGAAGTAATGGCGGGAAAAGTGAAATTCTAACGGGACTTGCCCTCTATTGTCTGTAAGGTGATTCTAGATTCTCACAAAACTGGAAGATAGTACTAGGTGCCACTAACGATGCTTACCCATCGCCTGGCCCTAGCTCAAAACTCATCAGAGAAAAGCACATGAATATAAATGACATGTACTAAGTGAAAAATTCCATTGCTTAAGATGTGGTGTGATGTGTGTATGTGCGTGCACGCGTGTGTGTGTGTGTGTGTGTGTGTTTCACTTGTTTTAGCTCTTTGACCTTAAATAACTTAAGATTAACTAAATGATGGGTAAAACGATGTCAGCACATATGAAGCCATACCAAGGCAGGCTTTCTGGGTCCACCCCAGCGTTTCTCATTCCACAAATCCTCAGCAGGCCTGGGAACCAGCACCTGTGGGCAGTTCCCACATGCTGCTGCTGGAATGTGGTCCACACTCAGGACTATTAAGTGGTATGAAGTGCAGGAGGGACCTCAAAATCCAGGCCGAAGGGGGAACATCAGAACAGTTCTAAGTGCATGCTGTCTTGTGTGTTCTCTCAGGGGCTTAAACTTTTTGCCTTCAACCTACAGTAAGAATGTTTAAGACAGCAACACACTATGCCAAGACCCCTTTTATACTATGGAAAAACAAAGTTCAGAAAAGGTTCATAAAGAGTTCATCCACAGAGGAAAGAGATGGCTTAGTGGTTAAGAGCACTGACTGATGAACCGGGTTCAATTCCCAGGCTGTCCTGTGTCCAATCATGCAAGGATGTAAAAAAAAAAAAAAAAAAGAGTTTATCCACTACATACATACACCCAATTATTTAATGGTCTGTAGTCTGTCCTTTTCTCTATTTTTATTGGAAAAAAAATGCTGGTCATGACCTACGAAACTGATTTGTCCACTCACACTAATGGTCAATCAGCACAACTTGCCAGAGTCAGGACTCACCTCCAGGAAAGCCCAGCTTCAAAAAGTATATTCCAGCTACCCAGAGGAGAGAACATCCTGGAGGTAGACAGACTTGGTAAGCAACTCATGAGCTCAGTAGAGCTGAGCATGAGATAGCAGGCCAGAGGCCTTGGAACAACGTCTACTTCAAATTCCCTCTAGGGAGGTACAAGAAGCAACCCCAGAGTAGAACTCCAAGTTTTGTTCCAGTCAGTGCTCCCAGCCCCACTGCCTTTGCCCAAAGCTATCTTTCATGCTGGCCACTGGATAGGACAGAAAAAAAACCCTCCTCATTCCCATTAGCCCAGTCCCATCCCTGGGGCCATGTGTGATGTGTAGGTGGACTTGTCCCGCCAGCCAGCTCCCCAAATAACCACACAGAGACTTGTTATTAATTATAAATGCTCGGCCAATAAGCTTGTTACTAACTAGCTCTTACAACTCAAATTAACCCATATTTCTTATCTACACTCTACCACGTGGCAGTACCTTTTTTCAGCACAGCCTGTTCTTCTTCTGCTTCCTCTGCATCTGGCTGGTGGCCCTGCCCTTCTTCATCCTCATGCTCTCTTTTTGGCACTTTTTGTCCGCAAGCCCCGCCTATCCTCTACCTTCCTAGCTATTGGCCATTTAGCCTTTTATTAAACCGACCAGAAGGCACTTTGGCAAAGACACGTCAGCATAGTGTACAGAAACATTATTTCATCAGTGCTGGTTTGAATAAGAATGGTCCCTATAGCCCAGCATCCATGTGGCAACTCACAGCTGTCTACAACTCCAGTACCAGGGGAGCTGATGCCCTCTCTTAACCTTTGTGGGTACCAGCTACACACATGTTACACAGACACACATGCAGGCAGAACATTCATACACCTGAAGTAAAAAACAAGGGAAAAAGAAATGATCACGTGTTGACTTTGAGGACTATCAAATAAGGATATTCACAGTGGACCCAGTAAGGTGGCCCTGGAGGTAACCAGTGCTTGTCAGAGAAGCCCGACAGCCTGACTGCAGTCCTGTAGCCACGACGGAAGATAACCATTCCTGAAAGTTGACCTCGACCTCCATATGTGAATCTGCACCCATATATCACAAACATAAATATTTTAGAAAGAATGTCCACAGAGATCTGGAAAGAAGCCTTCTACCGAGAAACAAACTATAGTGGCTTGTTGATAGCTCGAAAGGACTTGTATCTACATCATTTACATATGTTGATATTGGTTGTATGATTATATTTGAAATTAAGACCAAGAAATTTCTTTTAGTAACTTAAAAATTAGTAATTCTATATTTGAAATATCTTTTATTACAAAAATTGTATTTTCCAAAACAAAACCTTAACTAAAAAGAGTAATACTGCTTTACATTTATGTAACTTTCTTTTTTTTTTTTTTTTTTTTTTGGTTTTTCAAGACAGGGTTTCTCTGTGTAGCTTTGCGCCTTTCCTGGAACTCACTCTGTAGCTCAGGCTGGCCTTGAACTCACAGAGATCCGCCTGGCTCTGCCTCCCGAGTGCTGGGATTAAAGGCGTTCGCCACCACCGCCCAGCCTATGTAACTTTCTTTAATGTCTTGTCTAAAATAGAAGTTTATTCTTGTGCCTGCAAAAAAAAAGAAAAAAAAAAAAAAAGAATGGTCCCTCTATAGACTCCTATGGGTGAATGCTTGATTGCCAGTTGATGGAACTGTTTGGAAAGGATGAGGAAGTGTGGCCTTGTTGGGGGAGGAGTCACTGGGGATGAGATCTGCTCTTTCAAAAGCCCTCCACACTCCCATCGAACTTGCTCCTCCTCTCCTGTGATTTTTGTCTCAAAATGTAAGCTCTCAGCTACTGTTTTGCCTGCCTGCTCCATGCTCTCCTCCATGATGGCCATGGACTCCTCTATCCTCTGTGACTCTGAGCCCCAAATTAAATGTTTCATTTTGTAAGTTGCCTTGGTCATGGTTTCTTAGCACAGCAATAGAAAAGTAACTAAGGCACCATCACAGGGTGTGAGGCTTCCCTGACACAGGGGAGCATCCGGAGCTTGCTCATGGAGCTGGGGATAGAGGAATGTACACCTGAGTGAGTGACTCCTATAAATTGAAGGAGTAGAATCGATAGAAAATAAAAACTACACTTTGCTAAAGATTACACAAAGCTGATTGGATAACCAGAACACTGAGACTGTGTAGAGAGCTGGAAAGTTACAAATCCAGAGTTAAACGATTGTGGGCTCTCTTTAATCCTAACGACCACTCATTGCCCACATCTGGTTCTCACATTCCTCAAGAACTCGTGAAGCCAGTTCCCCTCTACCAAAGAAACCGTTTTCTTATCACCATCAGAAGGGACAAATGGCTATCTGTGGTTCTTGGTAGTATACCAAAGCTCATGCTGGCCTCTAGGCTCCCTCAGTATCACAAGTACCTGTTAAACATTTCAGAGTCCACGCTGGCATCCTGGCTCTTCTCACACTGCCCCTTACCCCAAACCTCTCCAGCTATGGGCTTCCCTCCCTGCAGCTTCTCATTGTCCTTATAACCCTGCTATTTCCGCTACGCTCCCTCTCTTGTCTTCCTCTCCTGCTCT